TTGGCTCAAACTGCTCCAAAGCACAATCAGAATGTGGTAATTTTGTCTTTCAAATGACCAGAGTACATATCTAACATGTCAATGTGAGGGTAGTTGAAGTCACCCATTACTACACAACTTATTTCTCTGGCTGCCTTCTTTATTTCTTTCTCCATTTCAAAATAAACCCTCAGTTTTGGTCGGACAACCAATAGTTTATCTCCGGCAATGCTCCCTCTAAGCTGTGGAGTCTTGTGAGTCTTGTGGAGTCTTGTGAACAAAAATTCTACTGAGCTACTGACATCAGTTGTGAGCAAGCAATTTGGCTACTGCATAAATTAGCCATCCTTCCTGAGCTAAGACAAAAATGTGTGAGCCAGAGACTAAAAAACTCTTCATCCTTGAGAAGCTTATATCTAAGGGTAGCTTATTGTGGTTCTCTCACTGAGAGCTGGAGGTGTCGCTCTGGTTGAATACATGAAGATAACTAATACAGACCACTGGACTAAAAGTCAGTATTGTCCACTCTGATTGGCAAAGTCTCTCCAGGGTTTCAGAGATTTTGTCATGTCACTTACTCCCTGTTTCTTTTAATTTGAGAAGCCTGGGATTGGACCTTCTGAATGCAAAGCAAATGCTTTAATGCTGAATCACAACCACGCCTTAGTTGGTTTTGTTTCCAGTTGTACAACAAAAACGACATAGAAAGTTTAGCTAGGGACATGTAGATGTTATCAGGCTTAGCTAAAATACTTGCAATTGGTCGGGCATCTCCTTTTTCTTTAAACCTCTGTATGCATGCCAGATATAAACTTTATGTATCCTTTCTCATCTTCTCCACTATCACCACTTTGCTTTTTCCTTCACTGTATTTATCTAGATTGAACTAGTTATTTTTTATCCTTTCTTCAGCTATTAAATTCGTATGTTTTGCAATTTACTTTGAGTGAAGATTTCAAAAGCCCTTGATCATGTGCTTCAGTTAAATTCATTATGATTTCAGTTCTTTGAGAGCTGAAGAACTGTAATTGTACAGCTTCTGTTTTGTCTGCTTTGTATATGAGCATCTGAGCCCAATGGAAGCTACTAAATGCACTGCTTTTAGCACATAACCCTCTTGTGGCATTTCTCCCCCACCCTCTTATGCAAACTGACTAAAGCTTTCTTATTTCCATTTGCCATCCATTTTTAATCTGCTCTGCTCCTTCCCTTTTCATGGATTTTAAACCCTTACCCTATTCCTGCCTTTACACTTGTTCAGGATCACAGTCTGCTAACCCACAGTCTGGTGGTAAGGCTCTTCCAATTTTGTGTGTGCATTGTTGTTTGACCACCCGTCATAGTTGGGGTCCTATTCAGCAGAAATTACTGTTTTCCTATTGCTTGATTTCTCAGCACAATCAAATTCTTACCTGGCATTTTCTCCTTTCTGTTTCAGATTTAGTTCATAACTAACCCATGCCTTAAGGTTATTAAACACATTTAGCATCTAGTCTAGCTACTCTCGAGTATAATGTTGTGGGAGTAGCATGCCTTTTAAAAGAAGAGTGAATTCAAATATTTATGCTATCTGGTTTTCATTTCCGTATTGGAAAAGTTGTAACACTTGGAAGTTGTCTGCAGTTTGCACTATGGAATTTGGCACTGAACATAGAATCCAGTGTCCTAAAAAAATCTCAGCTTTCATTAGAAAAAAACCCCAAACCTTAAATATAGGCTGCTAGCCCTTTAGACAGTATAGCCTTTAAAACTAAAGTAACTAAAGATAGTCATAAAGTTTGAGTCCAGTGGCACCTTTAAGACCAACAAAGCTTTATTTAAGGTATAAGCTTTCATGTGCACACACACTTCTTCAGATACAATGAAATGAAAATTACTTCTCCATACATATAAGTATGAGAGTGAGCAGTAAATTAGCATACAGCATAAAGAAGATGTTTAACAGATTCAAGGACCAAACAGGAATAACAAGTTTGGTTTATATGGTCCCGGAGGACACCTACTCTGGTCAGAAGACATCTGTATGACTTGTTTGGATCCCAAATAGGACCCGTTGGTATAAGATCAGTGGAACCTTTGAACAATCTGTCTTCAACTCAAAGAGTCCTACCTGAGGGACCGCCTTTCCCCGCATATACCCCCAAGAGCACTTCGGTCGGGGACCCAGAACCGCTTGGTAGTGCCGGGTCCCCGGGAGGTAAAACTTGCGTTGACCAGGGCCAGGTCCTTTTCAGTGGCGGCCCCTACCTGGTGGAATGAGCTCCCGGAAGAGATCAGGGCCCTGCAGGACCTTATGCAGTTCCGCAGGGCCTGCAAGACGGAGCTCTTCCACCAGGCTTTTATGTAGGGGCCGCCACTATTACCACCACCACCAACGGTGGTAATTCCAACTGGACCTGGATTACTGAAGACCAGAGACGCCGCCATCACCAAAGACCATCTTGCTGTGAAGCACTTATTTATTTATTGTTATATATGATTGCTGCTATGTTTTTATTGTTTTATGGATTTTACGTATGGGCTGTCGCCCTCTGTAAGCCGCCCTGAGCCCGCTTGCGGGGAGGGTGGGGTAAAAATACCTAAATAAAATAAAAAATAAAAATAAATCATTTAACAGCTCCAAAATACCTAATTTAATTCTTAAACAATTTACTGCTCACTCTCATACTTATATATACATACTTAAATGTACATACTTATATGTACATTTCATTGTATCTGAAGAAGTGTGTGTGCACATGAAAGCTTATACCTTAAATAAAGCTTTGTTAGTCTTAAAGGTGCCACTGGACTCAAATTTTGTTCTGCTGCTTCAGACCAACACGGCTACCCACCTGGATCTAAAGATAGTCATGAAAGTGTGTGGGCAATATATTTGTTTTTTGAAGACGAAAATTTATTTTGATTTTTTATTTAACAGTCTGAATTCAGTGTAAAGTCTCAGCATAAATTTTTCACATTAAAGTAATACGAAGGATATGTGTGTATATATATATATATTTGTGCTGAATAGACTCCTGGCTAGAAGAAGCCATTCAGCTGCAGTGTTTCCCAAACTTCTAATAGCTGTGGCACACACACACACCCTGAACTGAAATTGCAGGCCCTCTTGCATCCAGAAGGGTTTACATGTAGAGTCAAAATTACCCTTACAGTGTGTTTGGTCCTGAGGAAAACTTGCTCCCTTCTGCTTGAGCCAGTCCTTTGAGCATACCTGTTAACTGGAAGGCAGAAAGTGAGTCATACAGATGTGAACCTCCTCTGAGGAAATGTAATTCTGCTGTGTCTCTGCAGCAGGAGGGAATGAATCACAGCCAGTGCAAAGAGGCTCCCAGAGCAGTGATCCATACAGAGACACAGTACACAATAGATTTGGTATTAGGGCTCCTAGAAGTTTATAAAGTTGAATTTATGTCTTGTGGCACAATAGTGTGACCCCCAGCATATAGTTTGGGAACTGCTGTTTTACTGCATAAACATATTGTTTGTTAAGGCAAACAACAGACCACATAGAATTTGCATGAAACAATGTCTCACCCCCACCTCCTTCCATTTGGGTCCTTTTTAATTCATTTCTTGCTACCATGGTTTAGTTAGATTAGGTGATTAAATGTTTGTGATCATTTTTAGCTAGTTTGGGGGGGGCATTGGTTACAAGGTACAAGTACTATACATCACCTACAGTATTTAAAAATTGCATGAAAAACTTTGATCGGTCTGTTCTTTCAAACAAAGCTATTCTATAAATGCATTTCCATAGCATTTCTCTGATTGCATTTTTAAATGCCCCTACTTGGGCTGTGGTGGCACAGAGGTTAAGACGTTGAGCTGCGGACCGGAAGGTCTGTGGCTCGGCAGTTCGAGACCCGAGTGCCGCGTGACGGAGTGAGCTCCCATTTCTGGCTCCAGCTCCTGCCAGCCTAGCGGTTCAAAAGCAAGAAATTGAAAGTAGATAAAGAGGTACTGCTTTGGTGGGAAAGTGACAGTGTTCCGTGTGCTGGCTCTATGGCTTGGAAACGGAGATGAGCACCACCCCCTCAAGTCAGTTTCGACTAGCTTTTAAGCAAGGGAAACCTTTACCTTTTTACTTGACAGCAGTTAATATTTGAAGTGTGGTTTTAAATAGGCTGAAGGAGCACAGTAGCCTTCCAAGTAACTCAGACATGTGATTTGTACATAGGGTGGTTGTGTTACTTACTGTAGATGTCATCATCATCATCATCATCATCATCATCATCATCAAAGTTTATTACGGTCAGAGTCCCATCGCACAGCATACAGGAACAAACAAGACAGTCCCCTACTGTAGATGTATACGTTGGAAGCATGAAGCTGTTGGTTAATGCATAGTTCAAGCAAGGAAAATATCGCCAAAGATAATTAGTATTTGGAGCGTTTGGTTGTAATTTGACAGCAGTTAATATTTGAAGTGTGGTTTTAAATTAGTATTTGGAGCGTTTGGTTGTAATTTGAGCACGTGCGTGGATGTCCTACTGTGTTTCTCAGCTGCATCTGCACCCAGGATGTCAGAAGGTATTCAGGCAGTTCTCCTGAGTTTTAGGAAAGGCTTCTACAGAAGCACAGGGGATTTCTTTCAGAGCCTCAGAAAACTGCTAGCATACAGAACTTGCCACACAACCTTGGGAACATTAAATGAAACAAACACATTTCCAGCTATGTGTTTGGAGTATCCAAAGTCGGTAATAGTTGCTAGTCTATGAAGTACTGACCTTTCTCCGTGTGTCCACACTTCACCAACACTGAATAGGAGTGTCGTATGGAAAACAATGGGAATTAGTATTTAAGCATATCGTTAAAAACATATCAAAGCATGTAGCTTTGTTTTCACACGGTACACATTGTCCAGACTCTAAATTTTTCATCATTTTCAGTTTGTTCCAAATAACCTAACCTCAGATCATTTCAGTGTACCACAGCTATCTCACTAGCTTCAGTTTTTTCAATCCCCATTTTTTAATGTGTTGAAATATGTAGTTTATTTTTGCTCTCTCTGCCTTCAGCTGGTAGCCGCTCTGGTTCTCCTGGAAGAGTTTTAACTACCACTACACTCTCGACTATGAACACTGGGGTTCAGAGAGTGCTGGTCAGCCCTGCAACAGCACAGAAGCGGAGCAAGATTCCCCGAAGCCAAGGATGCAGCAGAGAGGCCAGTCCTTCAAGACTATCAGTTGGTAAGGCTTGCAAAGTACTCATAGGTTCTGTTAATCCTTTTGCACACTGCCATGCCTATAACCTGGTATCCTAAGCTTAGTGAATGATAGACCTAAAGAGTTGTCATTTGATTCTGCAGTACCAGATCCTAAGAATGTGTAGTATATGAAATAGACAAAAGTATACCGTACTTCTCCATCTTCCTGCTTTAGTTCATTAAGTATATTCACTGTGCTTAGCTGGTGTACTAAACGTACAGTCATGACCTATCAGTGTCAAGCCATTTCACACAGTTTATGGTGGCACACTCTGAAGCGCTCTTGAGTTTACCTGACAGGGAGCCACACCTAGTTTCAGTACTTTGACATACCTGTTTGATAGACACAATTGCAAACATGGGTTTATTGCACTCATTCTTCTCATCTTCAGGTAAATGTTCAATTTAAAAAAAAGTTAAATAGCCTTTAGAGATGCTAGACAAAATATATATGGCTTGCTGCCTTATTTACAAGTACAGAACATCAGTATATACTATATTCCCTTAAGTATACCCTTACATAAAAATACCATGTTTCTAAACTGATGCTAGTTTACATTATGAAAATATGCTGTTGTGGAAGGGTCCGTGTCCTCTGTAGTCCAGTGTAGGAAACAATGAGTGTGTGTTAATACTGAATTAAGGGAAACAGCATAATCTGCTTTAGAATTGTATGGTCTTATTGCAAAAGGTAAAAAAAAAAAGGACTGCATTAAAATATCAACTTTTTCTGTGTCTTCTCCCTTTCTGTGCTGCTGTTGGTCTGTACCCTGAATCATACTAGCACGAGGTAGTCGTATTCCTCGACCTAGTGTGAGTCAGGGGTGCAGTCGGGAAGCCAGCCGTGAAAGTAGCAGGGATACAAGCCCTGTCCGCTCTTTTGCACCCCTTGGTAAGTACATGGAGAGCTTGTTCTGCATGGCCATTGTTTGCCCTTGATTGTCCACTAATAAAAGCCATATTTTTATTTAGCTTATAACCAAGAAAATGTTTCCCTAACTATGAGCTATACACTATGCGAGCTGAAGATATTATCCATGTTGAAGAACCTTTCCTACACACATTTTAGAATGATGGCACAATCCAGAGGCGTATGCGCGGCAACCCCAAGATTATTTTGCATCTTTATTGGCAATCTTTTCAAGACTTGCAACTCCTAATAAACTCTTACAGATATGAAAAATCACCTTCTGTCATCATTTCTCCGCCCCCACAAAGCTTATCTACAGATTTAACATCAAACCTGCAAACAGTTTTGGAAACTGAAATTCAAAAACAGTGGGGGAATTTAGGGAGCCATTGTCCAATGAGAAAGCACTGTGTTTTAATTCTGTTGGCATGCACTCACCTCTGGATGGCACCCTGTGACTATAAACATCATTCTCTTTGCAAAGTGACTATAAAATGATCTTTTGGGATTCTAGATTCTGTCTCTGTGTTATTCAATTGTGTTTGACCATACTCAAGTTGATTTTCCTCCCTTCTTGATCGTATGAATAATCATGAAAGTATAAATCAATCAAATAAATAAATTGCTTGAGTATGAAGTTCAGTTGTATCATTTGTGGTGTAGTAGTTGCAGTACATTTTGAAAGAACTGCAGTTTCTTACCTTGCAAAAAATTAGGGAATTCACAACCCAGTCAAGCAAATTATATATAAAATTGTCCATTACCAATAGGCATTTAATTGTGCTATAATATGTACCTTGAACATAAAGGCCATACAGCAATAAAAGCTTTATTCCTTGTAGAATACACAACTGTGTACATTTGGGAAAAATGTTGTTGTTTTTCTCATTCTTCTAGAGGCAGTTTCAGTGACTGTAATAATTCTGATTTGCTAATTTGACTCCTAGTACATGGCTGTGAAAGTGTCTAAGAAAAAATCATAGATGTCAGAAAAGGGGCGCTCTGTTGACATTCTTTTTCTCAGTAGTGCCTAAAGACATTTCAGGAGTTACTCATAGTTTTTCCACAAAGTATCCTGGATGGTTTTAATAGTTCTGTGACAGTACCTGTATTGATCTATTTTAAACATTTATGTATAGTTTTTCCCCAAAACAGTTTATACAGCTTTGAATATGGCCCATCGTCTTTTAACGAGCAGATTTCCTCTCTGTAAAATTCACCACTGCAATACTACTTATTGACCTTCAACTCTGAAAGTCTAATTGGTATTCAGAATTCCATTTATTATTTTGAGTTAATGCTGCTTGTTCATTTTTGTCACCTTGGTGGTGGTAGAAAGTGCCATCAAGTCACGGCTGACTTATGGCCACACCCCATTAGGTTTTCAAGGCAAGAGATGTTCAAAGGTGGCTTGCCTTTGCTTGCTTGTGAGTCATGACCCTGGTATTCCTTGGACGTCTCCCATCCAAATACTGGCCAAGGCCGACCTTGCTTAGCTCCTGTGATTGGGCTAGCCTGGGCTATCCAGGTCAGGGCTTTGTCACCTTCGTAGCTGATTATACCAGAAAGTATAATTGCATGTCATGTGGTACCTGGTACTAATCTTAAAGCAACAAAGTTTATTTTTTAACCAAAGAACATTTGTTCCTATGCTTCTGCTACACTCCTTTTGCTAAGTTATGTCTTAAATGTGATTTTTTTTTCTTTTTTTGCATGCTACATGTGATCTACATGTTGGGTCAAATCAACTGTTAATTAAGTATTTCATCTTGCCAAATTTGGATTTACACCATATTTTGATTTCAGCATGAAGGTTTTTTGTCTGTTAATGGAATATCTAACTTAAGTACTCAACGAGACAACAAAGTACTGCTTCTAGAAACACTTTTGCTCTAAGCCAAAATTTATAGAAGAGTCACTGAAATAAATTATGTTGCACGGAGAATCAGTAATCAGGTTTTGTGCTGAATAAGTTTCATAGCTGAAACTATCTTTATCATCTGTCTCCCCTATAAAATTTAAAATTGTGTAGATATTTTGTCCTATCGTATGTCCTATGTTTTGATAGACGGCTTCATCCTGGACTGCCTTGTTTCTTTGTATCTTAAAATACAATTTCATTGTCTTGCATTTTCAGGTAAAGCAAACTGTCTCCCTAAAACATTGCTCATAGTCTCGTGTTAACAGTCCAGTTAATATTGTGTGTGTGCCAGTGTCCTCACTGTGACCAGTCATAGGGTGCTACTGCTGCCATTCACAGGGGTTTTACATGCTACTTGCAAACATAGTTTTAGAATGTCTGCATTAGCATAATTCTGCATGTGGTGGTCATGGCAACAGCTGCAGACAAAGCTGTCTGTAGGTAGCTGCTATACCCCCTGGATTTTCCCATAGTACCATACACTCAGTTTCATGCGAGTCGATGCTTGGTCAGTTTCATGAGGTAATGCTGCTTGCTACCTTGCTTTGCTGGGAACATATCCTGTGTAGCTCTTCCTATCCTTTATTGTTAAAGTAATAGAGAGGGTTCATGTGATCCTGTTATTGCAGCTTCCAGGCATCACTCGAGATCCACTGGTGCCCTCTACTCTCCAGATGTTTATGGGGCTACAGGTGATGGATGAGTACACTTTGCTATCATCTGTGCAATCATCTTGGACTCTCTTTTTTTAACCCCTTTAGTTTTTCCACACATTTTTATCATTCTATGCATTAATCTGTGTTTTATATTTTGAATGTCCAAGGGACATAAAGTATATGAGACACTCCCTTCCCCCCTGACCATGCAGCAATTTTTGTTCTCTAATTTCAGATGGATTTTATAGAATTTATTTTATGAATGCATGTAGTTTTCTCATGTCGTGCTGTAGGATGTATTGATTGTAGTTTTCCTGCATTTGCTTTATATTTTCTTATTAATGCATATCTTTTAATAGGAAAAGGAAATTATTTGCTTTTATTTCATCTTCTACGCATTTATACTATCACAGTGTATTATTTTTGTTGTATGATGTACAATTAAATTGCCTTGACCTTTATTTTAATTTTGAGATGTTTAGGCCATAATCTAACAAATATATTCTGCAAGACTATTCTCTGCAGTAACTTGATAGGTAAAGAATTGTCACTCTTAAAACTGAACAGTTGCTTGACTTTTTGGCAGAGTGAGAGCCGCTGTAAATTCTGGCTGTACATGCAGTTCTTACCTGCATGTTAGTATCTGTGGATTGTGGCCAAAATATCTTCAGTAATATGGCCAAGGGCTAGTGAAAGTATCCCGGGTTTCTTAAATTAATTCTCTTACTTTGAATTTCCCTTATTTAAAAAATCAGGTGGTCCTCTGGGATTAACAAGGCAACCAGCCATTTTTAACAAACGGACCTGGAATATGTAACTTTCTTGGCCATGAGACAGCATAACCTTTTGCAAACTATCGAATATGAGTTTGGGTTCTTACAATTGAGTTTTAGTGGTCCATTTAGAACAGTTAGGATTAACATTTTGTTTTGTATTCTGGCAGGCACAGGTTTTGGAATAAGTCAGTCAAGTCGGTTGTCATCTTCAGTTAGTGCCATGCGAGTCTTAAACACAGGCTCCGATGTTGAAGAAGCAGTAGCAGATGCTTTGGTAAGCATTTTAACTTCCCCTTACCCCCCTTTTTTTCAAATAAAAGCTTTGCTTTGGTATATAATGTAGTATGTCTTATGCTGTTTTTGACTTTGGCTGCTCACTTTTCAAAATGATGTGGAACTCCCTTCCTGTGTACATACATGATACAGCCACATACTCTTTTTAGATCCTTTCTTAAAACCCACCTTTCCATAAGGTCTTTGCCTTGAACTCTTAATCTTCTTAACCACATTTGCTTAGATTCATTTCTTGCTAAATTTTTCTCTCCCTGTGTTGTTTTAAGCAGTCTAGATGATAAGCTTATTAAAGACGGGGACCAGTGGCCTTTTTGGTGCCTATTAAATTCTTTGTGATACCATCGACTTGGGTGATGCTGTTTAAGCAACAAATATTAACGTAGAATAAACAGAAGTATCTGCTTTCTGTGGTCCACAGAACTAAACACGAGGCCAGGTCCTGGTAAAATAGAAACAGAAATAACTTGTAAGTGCAAGTGACTCATAGCTGACAGTGTGAAAACCCAGCAGCGTTAATATATGTCCAGTCTTCCCAGGGTATTCTCAGGGCAGCTAACCATATATTTTTAAATAACAATTTGTGACAAAGTGCTCAAAAACATCAAATAAAATATCAGCAAATAAAAAAGACGAAAAACACCAACAGATTTAAAAAAGTTAAAAGCTGACATATCATTGTATAATATAACATGTAGTTAATCAAAGGTTTTAATCTTGTACCTAATTTCTGTGTTTATTTTGTCCATTGTGGAAGCAGCCTTCCACTGCATAGTGCGCTTCCTCTGGTGCTGGGCTCTTCTATTTATGCAAAACCAGTTGTTTCAAGGACTCGCAAAGTGCCCAGCATGAGAAGAACACCCTCTGCAGGTTGAGTGTCACTGCAGCAGATGAAGAGAAGTGCACATGCAATGAAGATAATAGGATTCAAGACAAAATCTTTTGATTGTTCTCAGTGTTCTTGTACATCTTATGTCTTTGTCTTTTTTACTAATGCTACTATCAGTTACTAATATTGATCTTTTTCTTGATGTTCTTTATCTTTGTACTAGTTTAGTTATCTTTTTTTAAAAAAGCAGATAACTAGCCAGCCTTATCATCAGCCTTATCTTTTTTTTTTAAAGCAGATAACTAGCCAGCCTTATCATCAGTCCAGGAACTTTACTTGTGAAGTCTTTCCCCCTCACACCAGAAATTTTATTCCTTGTCCATGAGCCTAGCTCACAATCCCAAGACAGTGCAAAGTTTCCCAGTATAGATTGGAAGCTGTGCTTTGAGGATGTGGTAAAGTAATGTTATAGCTGTTTCAGCATAACTTAAACATATCCACCCTTAGTTTCACCAAGGGTTAATATGAATAAAAAGAAGTGGGGACCCACAATACTCGAGGGGTGAGTATTCCCCCCCGCTGAAGCACATGAAGGAGAAAGCGGCCACAAGTGAGCCCAGCAGGTGGGGCAGCCAGGCCCACCGAGCCCTCTCCCCCATCCCCGCCAACACCGGCGGTGAGGCACAGTTCCGAGTGCATTCTTTGCACATGCGCAGGGAACACTCTTTTACTTTTGGGGGAATTTAAGTATCCCCTGTATAGTTTTTTTCAGCATGTCAGATTTTTCTGCACATTTGAGTACCCCAAGTGTGCAGGAAAATCTCTTTGCCCCCTATGTGCCCCCAATGTGTGGATTTAGATATCCGCACAGAGGGGGCATCTTGGCTGTTAGATATATAGATAGTGGGTCTGCTTCAGCTTAGAAGTGTTTGTAATTAGCCTATCTGTATCTCTTTCAAGGCTGGATATCAGAATGTGGTAACTGATTAAGTGAAAAGGCCTGCACTCAGTCAGAAACTAGATGGGAGGGGGAGTCAGGAGTGAAGCCCCCCAGCAGTCTCCTGCTCCCCTCCCTTGCACTAGTTGCTTGTGGGCCTTATAAGAGCCCTGGATGGGCCGGTTCCTGCCCCCAGGCCTTATGTTTGACACCCCTGAATTAGACGTTCGGGAAGGATGGATTGAAAGCTTTCTTTAGAATCTGAGAGCTCTCGTTCCATCCTCCTTGAACATCTCTCCTTTTTTCACCCCGCCTCAGAGTGGAAATATCTCTTTATCTTAATGTTAATGTCTGTCAATATTTTAATTTGTCCTCAGAGCTTCTTACTTTGTTGTTCAGTCTTCTCTGAGAAGTTTTGTAATGTCTTGGAGACAGGGAGCTGGATATTCACAGTTTGCATTCAATAATGAAAGCCATGTCCTCAAACAGTTGGATTGGGCTAGCACCGTGGCCAGGGCCAGACGCACCTGTTCTCCTTTGGCTCTGGGGTTGCCCCCTCCAGAGAGATTTCTGGATTTACATGCATCGCTACCAATTCCATCCCACCGCTGTGCCATTATGCTGGCCCGCTTAAATGCATTTCCAACAATGGTAACGCTGGGCAGATTTGGAGGCTTACCTTACTCAGATCGCCTCTGTCTGTGCAACTCTGGCGAAATTGAAACTTTAGACCATCTGATGTTTCGCTGTCCCCATTGGACTCAAGATAGAGGGATATATATCATTCCTATTCTTACGAAGATGAATCTTCCCTTGCAACCTTGGGTGCTTTCAGTATTGCTGTCTGATTCAAATGCCGATGGACTGATAACAGCTAACGTGGCGCGGTTCCTGGCTAAGGTTGCTGCTCTCAAGAAACACTGAAAGCTTTATCATCTCTGCAAACACCTACACTGATTTTTAATCTTCGGAGGATTTTAGTTAGTTGGCTCCGCCCCAAGTGTAGTTAGGTCTTTTTTATTTTCTGGGCTATGCCTGGGTTTTATATGTTTACTGATTGTGACTATGTACTTGTCATATTTTATGTCAATTTTATGTACCTATTTTACTCCTTTTGCATTCTCTTTTGGTCAAGACTTCGGTTATATAGACCTATAATAAATTGAATTGAATTGAAAGCCATGTCCTTCATTTCTCTGAGGATGATTAAAACAAAATTTTGTAGGATATATGAGGGCTATGATTCTGCCTGCTTAAAAACCATCACCACTGAATACTTTGATTTGTTACTGATGGAAGCACAGTGACATCTGCTTACGAAACAATTGTCATTAATATTCATAATGTCTTTATTTTTCTCTAATTCATTGCTCTCAGCTCTTAGGAGACATACGGACAAAGGTATAACTATCCTTGTTTCCCTATTGATGGTTTGCATATGCCAAGAGTTATTAAACAAACATTGTATCTCTCATCAAGCTATTGTATATTGTACATGAAAGTGTTAACTTGCAGAGAGAATTGTGGACAATGACATTTAAAAACAATTGTCCTTTTGTGCTATAGGTTACAGTCATAATTAGGGAAGCTTCTGCATATCTGTACAACATTGCTTGCTTGGATGTCACTTTCCCCTTCTTGCATCTGTACTCAGCAAAACGGAGTCTCACAGCCTCCAAATGTTATTTCTATAGCAATTTCAGGGGCAGTTCCCCTTTTCAGGTAACTTTGGGGTCACTCAGTTGATGCATTACCTACAAGTCATGAGAAGAAAGGAAGTGCATGCTCTGATGTCGGCTTCTGCCATGTCTAGAGGAAGAGGGGTAATATTGGAAGGCCCATAATCGTAGTGGGAAAAGAACATTTTGGTTATTACTCCTCACATTGGATTCTTTGTGAATAGAAAAAACCAGTACGAAGGAGGTACGAGTCATATGGAATGTATTCTGATGATGACGCCAACAGTGACGCATCCAGTGCTTGCTCAGAAAGATCATACAGCTCTCGAAATGGCACCATCCCTACCTATATGCGCCAAACAGAAGATGTAGCTGAGGTCCTCAATCGTTGTGCAAGCTCCAACTGGTCAGAAAGAAAAGAAGGCCTTCTGGGACTACAAAATTTATTAAAAAACCAGAGGACTTTAAGGTAAAAACCACATTGGGTGAAAGATTTTTCATTTGAGAGAGGCCTTCTTCAGCAGAGCCTTGTTTTCATAGTATATTATATTCAGATGTACTCTGGATGACGTATACTGTAGACACAATTTAGCTAAAATTTAGCTTCCCTTCAGACAGCTGAGCAGGCACAACCCATTTTAAACAACAGGACTTCATAGGTACTTGGATTGGTTCATGTTCATTCTGACTAATCCTTGAAGAATTTTACCTCAAAGGTAAAATTTCAGCTAGCTGTTATTTGTCAACTTGCAAGGCTGTTCATAGAGTCTTGTGTTTCCATGTGAAATTCAAAATGTAATTCAAATTTTTTCACCCTTGTGGGGGGGGGGGAACTGTATCAGTACTATCTCTTTTGATACTATAAACTCTCCAGCTCAGTTCCACCAAAAGTTCTTTGCAAAAATGGCTCTGGACTATTGGTAGAGCCGTGACTTTGGAAGAAGTGTCCTATTGTTCTGTCTCTGAGTATAGAAGAACATTTGTGCATACTGGTAGAATCCACAGTCCTACTGATCTTCTGTCTGTGGAGAGAGCCATGATTACTCCTCTTTGCTTGTATGCAGATTCTGTTAACCATTGTGCAGTGTTTCTGCACTTATGTTAATGCTAAGCATGATTTGCCACACCATAGATTGTAAATCCTTCTAACCATGGCTGCAGACTCTAGTGTGAAGCTAACTATGCTTAACATTAAGATCTGTGCAGGCCATAATGCTGCATCTTAACTATAGTTAGGAGTTTGACGCATTATATCTGCACCAGTGTGTGGTAGCTGTGTAAGATCCATGTTGGCACTCATGAAGTTGGCATTCATCTTAGTGTGAGTTTCACAATTCAGTGTGAGTTTCAAGAATTTTAGATTTGTCACTTCTTTCTGTACTGATCCCAATCATCTGAAAGGTTATGGGCCACAACTTGTGGCATAAGTAAAATTCTCCGTATAACTACAAAATTCTGAGCCGTTTCTAGGTAATGAAAATCTACTCTGTCTCCAGCAGCTTTATGGATAATGCTGTCCTGGAAGCTATTTTACAGCCTTCCACTTGGTCAGTGGCCAGTATGTTTATCGAGCAATGGTAAACTGAACTGGTTATCTGCTGAGGATGCAGATGGAGAGGGAAGTTCTTCAGGTATTAGCTGAAGTTGGTTCTACATAGCCCTTTCCTCCATCCTGCTTCTGAGGGAAGAAAAGAGACATTGTGTGCTGGCACATAAATCTCTACTCCCCTTGAGCAAGATGGCAGCCTGGCTGTGATGTTCTGTTTCACATCTCTCAGGGTGAGATTTGCAATCCTGGCCTTGAAAGAGATCTTCGCTTTTGGGAGGTAATAATCCAGTTTGGATCCTGCCTCCTGATAATCCCAGAGGAAGGGACTTTGCGCTTGTCCAAGCTGCTATCCTGTGCTTCAAGAAAAGGAGGCATTTACAGAGAAGCCACGAAATCTCAATTTTTGTGGTTGGGGCCCAGTGTGTTTTCTACCTCATTAAACCGAATTGCTCCCTAAGTAGTTCATTTGCTGATTTGTAGTGTAAAACACAGGAATAGTTTCATGTCATGGAAATGCAAACATTTCTGTTGGGAAATGTATTTTCAAAACTGTTTAAAAATTACTGCTTTAAAATACAATGGTGATTCCCCCCCCCCTAAAAAAGTGTTTAGAATGTTAGCCTGTAGTTGACTAATCAGTTGTTAATGTCACTTTGACAGTCGTGTTGAATTAAAAAGACTGTGTGAAATCTTCACACGAATGTTCGCCGACCCACATAGCAAGGTATGTATCTGTTTTGTTTCTTAGTGGTTATTTATGAACATCTGCAAGTTGATACATGAATACTGCTGCAGATACAATGTGGCTAAAAAGCCTACTTTTGAGAGTGATTTCATGTCATATAACTTCAAATGCTGAGTTCTGTTTTTTATTTATGTAACTTTTTTCTTAAAGTTGCAGTACCTGGTAGAGGCATTTTTTAATTTACAGATTTTTAATCAGCAACACAAGATAAACATATGTTATATTTATTTGTAACAAATTCTGATACAAGTTTTTTGTGGTTCAGGCTGGTATCAGGTGTGTTACCATTGCTTGCAGTTAGAGGAGGCAGAAGGTGGGATCTCCTTTGTATCTGGCCCGTGGCTGTGGTGGGGCTATTGGGGGCTCCGCCCCCTTCCTTAAAGGCCCCCTGCATCTTCCCAAAAGCATTTAAAGGGATCCTTTAAAGGCTTTTGAGAAGAAGTGGGGGGTGGCACACAACCCTCTCCCTCCCTCTTGCAGGATTTAAAAGGACTTCCAGCTGATCGGCAGGCCACATGCTCCCTGCTGATCAGCTGAAGGGCCTTTTATTATGGCAAATAATGGCAGCCCCACCAGAAAAAAAAATTTGCCCCACCAGCCACAAAAATCTGGCTACAGGCCTGCTCTGTACTCTGGTGTTCATTACATGATAGGAGACTGAGTTTGAGTGTTCAGGTTAGGTGGCAGTGATTATATGTTTTCGTGGGATTGTTGAATATCTATAGCCCAGTTAGCATTCCAGTGGTGTGTGGGCAAGGACAGATTGGTTGTGGAAGAAATAATGAATGTAAACAATGTGTGTGTCAGTGGAGGAGGAGTGTTCATTCCCTATCTGTCCCATCCAGTTGTGTGTGGGTGCTGCTGCTCTTGACCCCTAGTTGACTTTTGCACCAAGGCTGCTGTACCTTAACACCAAGACAGTCTGAACCATCTTTGGCATTTTATTACAAATGAGACTGGTTTCTTTTACCAAAACTTAGCTGGGTGAGGCAACTGGTCCTATTTTGATCTAGCGTAGCCCATTACCAACCTGGTACTCAGAAAGAGGGATAGCTATAATCCTTCATGAGTCCTTTTCTTTTGGTAATGCTGGAGGTAGACTAACTTTGGCTAGCTTTGTCTGAATTTCCGTGTACTGGGTTCCAGGAACAAACTGGACATTTGATGAGTTTAATGTCCACTTAGTGAGCATCCTGAATGAACTGACTAAGTTCTAAGTAAAGAAATAATTGTGTCAGCTATATCATAACAGCTGAGGTTTTTCAAGTGGTTCATGATCTAATGAACCCTTAAATAGAAACCTGGATGGTGAGCTGTTGGTCACTTATTGATATTTTGGCTTAACATCTTTGCCAATGAAATCAGTTGTATTTGGTCCAACATAGACATGACATTGGGTACAGCAGGGTTCCCCACCATGGTGCCCGTGGGTGCCATGGCCCCTGCCAGTACTTCCCTTGGCACCCACCAAGCTTTTCAGAAAGTAGGTGGGAAATCGTAAGGCAAGGCTGTCCTCATTCAAATGAAAGGGTTTTCCATGGCTGCAACAGCTGCCATAGTAACTGGAGAATCAGGAGGACTGGTAAGGAGTCAGGCTTGTGGTTCCATTGTAGTCAACAGGATCTCAAAAATCTATTTCTCTGACAGAAGGCCACCTCCCTGAGAGCCAGTTTGGTGTAGTGGTTAAGTGCGTGGACTCTAAATTGGAGAACCGGGTTTGATTCCCCACTCCTCCACTTGCACCTGCTGATGTGACCTTGGGTCAGTCACAAGCTCTGGCACAGCTGTCCTTGAAAAAGGGCAGTTTCTGTCAAGAGCTCTCTCAGCCCCACCCACCTCACAGGGTGTCTGTTGTGGGGAGGGGAAGGGAAAGGAGTTTGTAAACCGCTCTGAGACGCCGAGTGAAGGGCGGGGTATAAATCCAATCTCTTCTTCTTCTTAAGAAAAAGTGGTCTAACCACTGCTAATTAAAGTATTTTTGACAAGGAAGATCTGGCCATCTTGACACCAGTATCAAATCTTCCTTTTGGGAGCAAGATAATGAAGCATGTTGTGGTAGAGCAACTCTAGGCATTCCGGTGTGATCTTTCCTTGACCCTTTTCAGTCTGGCTTCAGGATACTTCAGGCATCCTGCCTTTCTCTCCAATGGAGACCCAAAACAGAGTCCATCATTCTCCTATTCCTCCATTTTATATTCCCAACAAGGAGGAAGGTTAGGCTAAGTGTATGATGGGTTTAAAGTCATCCAGCATTCCATGGCTAAATGGGAATTCAGCCCGGGTCTCCCAGATCTAGTTGGATGCTTTAATCACACCACCACACTTGTTTGGGAACAGCATTTATGGCCCTGGTAGATGGCATGCATCTACAGATTGATACGGAATTATTGTGTTTGATTCTGCTGAATCTCTCAGCAGCCTTTGACATGGTAGACCATAACATCTTTTTAGATTATTTAGAACTTCCGATTGGTATCTCAAGTGGTTTCAGCCCTCCTTGTCTGATAGGACTCAGCAAGCTATCATCGGCTTGGAACCTATTATGTCATATGTCACAGGAATTGGTACTGTAATCATTTTTGTTTAACGTCCTTATGAAGCTATTGAGTGATATAATACATAGCTTTTGGGTTGTGTGTCCATGATATGCTAGTCTGCTCTGTCTATATTATTAACTACGTGCCTAGAAGCAGTGGTCCAAGTAGGTGAGGCTGAATAAGCTGAAATGATGCTACAAGGGAATGCAGATACTAGGGAAGTGATTAATGGAATCACTGTCCTTGTGGAATCAATTGAAGAATGCTGGCATAGTGGTTAAGAGCAGCAGTTTTGTGTAGTGGTTAAGAGTGGCAGGACTTTAATCTGGAGAACTGGGTTTGATTCCCCACTTCTCCACATGAAGCCTGTTGGGTGACCTTAGGTCAATCACAGTTCTCTCAGAGCTGTTCTCTCAAGAGCAGTTCTCTCAGAGTTCTCTCAGACCCACCTACCTCACAGGGTGTCTGTTGTGGGGAGAGGAAAGGAAGGAGGTTGTAAGCCACTCCAAATCTCCTTCAGGTAGTGAAGAGTGGGGTATAAAAACAACTCCTTCGTCTCCTTTGTCTCCTCCTCCTTTGTTTCCTCCTCTTCCTCCTTGAAAAGCAGTTTCTTAAAAAAACAACTTTGCAAGTTGTTAGGACTGCTTCTTATCACCTGCATTTAGTGTGTAGGCTCTTCTTCCTTTTAGACTTGTCTACTATAATCTTTGTTATGTGGGGGACACTCTGAAGCCTTCAGTTGGTGCAGAACACAGCAGCTTGCCTTCTATTTGGTGCTAGGCACGAAATATAGCTTCAGTAACCTCACTTGCCTTAAGTAGTTACACTGGTTACCAGTTTGCATTCAAGCTCAGCTCAGAGTGGCTGGTTTTAATCTTTTAAGCCCACATACCTGAAGCACTGCCTCTCTCCATATATATAGGCCTACCCCCCAACTGGGTTTGGGACAGCAGCAGCTCTTGGTAGTGCCATAATTTTGTCAAGTGAGATCAGTAATTGCAAGGGAAAAAAGTTTTTATGTTACGATTGTCTACTGCAGGCGATGCTTAGTCCTACCTCTTTTAAGGTGCTCTTTGTTCGATTCGGTTGGATGTGTTTTTGCTGGCTAGAGCTGTGTTTGACTAACTGGATTTATGGTTGCTATTGCTTGAGCCATTGAAATTATTTTTAGATTTTTCTGAAGTGCTTTTTGAGTAGGAAAAGCTGTATAGAAGTATTTTAGAAACCATTTGCATACAGTGTGCATAAATATTGAGATAAATGATTACTATTTTTTTTTTGCTCTGAATAGCCTAAGTGAGATCTGGAAGAGGTTCCCTTAAAACAATGATGGTTTCTGAGTGTGGTATGATGAACTTGTGAGACTTTTTTAACAGGAATATGTCAGGTATATTATAAATTGTGAGTTAAAATACCAATGGATGATGGAATTTACTTAGGACAGGGGGAGATGCTTTTGCAAATGTTAGAGTGTTGATTTTTGGCAAATTCCCCTTCTACCTCCAGTGTGTCATCCCCACTTATTTCAGTGATTTATTAAAACAGCATAGGAAGCTAAGTGGAACTGGGAGAATCAGTGAAAATCATACCCTCACCCTCCGCTTTGGCGGAATGAGCTCCCTGAGGACATCAAGGCCCAGCGGGATTTATCAAAACTCCCCAAGGCCTGCAAGATGGAGCTCTTCCACCAAGCGTTTGATTGAGATGCCACAATTGCCCAACATCAACCGAGTAATTTATGCCCTATAATCCACTCTTGGTTGCCTGCTCTAACATCTGTGCTCACACTAAGGAATTATGTGCCAAGGAACCAGACACTAGCCATAGATTCCCCCATTGTGGCCGATAAGGACAGTCTTTTTGCCATCGTATATATGTAGCACCTTTTGAATTTGTTTTTATTGTCCTAATGTTTTTATGATGCCAGTGGACCTGTAAGCCACCCTGAGCCTGCTTCAGCGGGGCAAGTGGGGTATAAATTAAATCCTATGCAGGATTTAAACCATATGCTGTATTTGAAGCCATAATGTAGACCAGTGCTTTGGCCTGTTGGAACATGATTCCTTTATCTTCATGCATGCTCATGAACTCACAGGGAAATTGAGAGTAGTCCTCTAGCTCATATATGAGCCCAACGCCAGGGTAAGGGAGATCCCCCACATTACAATAAAAGTGGTGGAATTTCATAAATAGGACAGTCACTTTTTAAGTATGCTGTAAGGTGGAGGGGTTAGAGAGGGAAAAGAATTAAATACATGAGTTTTAAGGACCTCCATTGGGGTGGATGGGACAAACAATGTGTTAGTGTTTCTCAAACATTTTAGTAGACTGAAGAGCCAAAGGCGCAAATGGCTTATTCGCCATCTTGCCTTAGATATTCTACTTTGGCTTCTCTTGCCAGTAGAACAGAAATTGTTGGCTTATCGTAGAAAACGGGGGGGGGGGGTACTGTTGCCCTATTTTGTAGAGTCTGAGCAATGGACCAGCACTGGAAGCAGCAAAATCAGTATATGTTAATGAATTTAGACAGGAGTAATTCTGCACAGAATTTCACTGTGATTTGATTGTAAAAGTGTAATAACGTCATTGTATGTTGTGCTGTTGCAGAATATTACGGCTGCTGTTGTAAAATTGAGTATCCTTTTTTTAAAACGCTTCAATGTAGTCTACCTCTATCTAGATTTAAATCACAGTGATTTCAGTAGAATTTCAAACTTAGCCTAAGCATGTTTACTCAGAGTACATGGAGCTCAATGAGCCTTCCTATTAAGTATGTTTATGCTTACCTGTAGATACAGGTAAAGTCGCTGCTGGCCAACAGGAACCCTTCCTGCTTTGCACCATAGAATTTCAGTGAAAATGCTCACTGAATGCCAACTAAAGCTGTATCATTTGTAGCACATGCATGAGGTCTTTTAATTCCAGACACACTGCAGAAACATACCACAAGAACCATGGTTGGTCTGTATTCCCCAGTGCATAGTTTTGCAAGGCACTTTAAAGTTAAAATGTGTATGCTCTTCATGTATTGTGGTTTCAAGTGGTTATACAACTACTTGCATAATATGTATCTTTTGATAGTAATACTTAAAGCAGCGTTTCATCAACTGTTAAGTTATTGTTCAGAAAATGCCATATCTTTCTTCAGACAACCTGGCTTTAGATAGGAGGGGAGAGAAGAGAGACTGTAGTTTGGATCCAACCAACTTTTCTGGTGACGAAAGAGGAAGGGAGGTATCCTCTTTGACCACCCAAAACGGCTGTGCCACAAAAGCCATATGGCTGTAGTAAGGTGAGAAACTGGGCGAGATTGAATTAAAAAGTTGGCTGGATCCAACCCACCATTTACTTATGCACTAGCTAAGAGTTTAATTGCAAAGCTGTTTAAATTTATCATTTTAAAAAAGCAATTCATTATATTTTCCTCATACAGGAACTATGCAGACGGCAACTAATGTGTGTGTTTTATCTCCCCCTCCCTCCCCTCCCCCTTTTTTCTTTTTGCATGCTGTCCCCTCTGTTGGAACTCTCTGTAGAGAGTAAGTTGGTTCAATATTTGTTGGAACCCTAACCTTATTGCATGACTCAAATTAACCCTTTTTTTCTCTACTTTATAAAAGAAAAGAATATGTGCGGAGTTGAGCTTTTGCGCTTTATAAAATCCTTGCAGTTATGCAGATTATGCTGAAATATTTTTGGATTGTGCTTCTATATACTAATTAACTGACCTTTTTGGTTTTGTATTTCTGCTGTGTATTGTGGTGATTGGCGCATCTGAATTTCACATCAGCTAAGAAAAGATCTCTTACAGCAAATCTACAGGATTTCCCTCCACTGTACAGTTTCATCTACATTTCAAACCCATGATTTCCAGAAATTATTTACAGCATAATAAAATGTAGTACATTTACACTATACTTTTACTTTCTTTGGATGCTTATGCTTCTCCTTGACAATGTTACTAGCCCTCTTCTATAGAAGCCATGGTAACGTAAACACTGAATTAATACCTCTTATAATCCAGTGCAATTGTATTCATTGCACAGGGAAAGAGAAACAGGGCACATCTGTTGGATAGCTGGTGGACACTGTTGGCTTTTTGCATGCTGCATATACCTGAAAGATTTGCATGTCAAGACACTGCTTTTTCAGACTATATCAGCCACTTGGATTGCTTTCAGTGTGTTTAAGCTCACAGCTACAATTTAAAATGAGTGCTTTTAAAACAGCCGCATCAGCTCTAAATTACTATAATGGTATCTCCTTTTAGGAAACTGATCCTAAGCTGGTTTACTCGGAAGTAAATCCCAACTAAATTGCATGTGGTTTACACTCAAGTAAGAGAGCACAAGACTGCAACCTAGGTTATAGGTTTTATGGTTTTATTAGGGTATATTTAAATGTAACTTAGGGTCATGCAGCTTCCGATATAGCTGTTTGCATAGCTGTTGCTTGCCTGAGACTTGGGAGTCCTTAGGTCTGAGCAAATTTGGCCCAGAGCTGCTGTAAGTGGAGGTGTTTTGGAGGGGAAGGTACAGGGATCGTGCAACAAGTGCTACCCCTGAAGTTTGGGAAATTTAGGATACAGACTTGCCCAGTTCAGAATTTCCAGGCCAGTAATGAGCTGAGCCCAGAGCTCCCAAACTTTTCCAAAGATCACAGTAGTTCTACTAGCTCAGCTCAATGTCCAGCTCTCTCTCATGCCCACTTTAATTTCCCATAGAATCTTATCCAGTGGTAACATGAGAAGGACTGCTGAAGCTGCAGTTGTCATTAGGCCCTGTGGCAGCATTTTTGGCACTAAAGCCTTGTGGAATGTAGCTTCCCAGAGTTTTCAGGATCCTTTGTGAGAACATCACTACTCATGGTCTCTGATGGTGAGTTGTTGAGGAGTGGGCCTCCATGCCTTACCATGTTCCTTTTGACATTGTTGAAAATGTGATGAGACCTGGAATTAGACTGGAAGAATCCATGCTTAAAGCCAACTAATTTAGGCCTGATCCAAATTGACCCTTAATTCGTTTGTTTTAATAAGCAAATTCCAAATTAAGCCTGGAAACGTTTGTTCCTGTTGTATTCACAACACGCACAGACACCCTGTTAAGTATTCTTCTGTGGGAGTAGGACTATTTTATACAACTATGAGAAGATTCTTTTTAATCCATGATAGACTGTAGAGAAGCCTTAATTTGTTTCACATTCTCTAGAAAAACCAGAGACCCATCTTGTAAACAGATTGTTTTACACAGGAAATACAGTGACTGTGGCCCATATCTGTTCCCACTGGTGGAAGCATGGATTGAGCAAAGATTTTTAGACAGACCTCGTAACTCACCGGGCTTTCTTGCTTCTAGTCTCAAGTGCATTTAATTTTTCAAGTGGAAAGTCTTGTCAGACCTTTATGTGATGGGATAGAGCAGGCTTTATTGTTCCAAAGTTAATTAAATTTTGAGCAGAAGGTACAGTGCTTCAAATTCCACTTAAAATGTTTCCTGTCCCTGTAAGAATCCAAATATTTTGATTGAGCCTTGAACAAACAGTAGCACTAAGTGGTATTTAATGTAGAAAATGGAAGTATCTATATTTTCTTCAGGAACAGGTGATGACTTCTGCAGAAACAGAGGATTGTTTAATAAACTTATTTTCAGAGTTGGGCACAGACTTTTTTTGGGGGGTAAAATTTGTCATTCTGTGTCTCTCATGATTTTGAATTTTCAGGAATGGTTTTCCAAAGTAGTGGTGACACAGTGTCCAGAGTGAACATTCATTTGAGAACTTGTAGTAAAACTTTGCTTCTTGTAGCTAACTCTTCAGATTATTTTCTTTAAAAATATTTAAGTAGATAATATGCCTTCTTTTTGTGAACTGTGCTTTCCCATCTGCTTTTTTATGTCTACTGATAAAGAAGAAAAAACATACTTACTACATGCTTCTTTACATAAGAAGGAAAGTATACCCTTTTCCTTTCTCAAAATTAGTAATACTTTGCATAGAAGATATCTGCAGGTCCCTACTTCACTAGACTTGTCACCCATGACAGCTTAGCTTTAAAAAAAAAATCTGGAGTGTGCATGTTGTGTAGCATGCAAAGCTGAGTGGATTAATAATCTAAAACCGTGTTTCACAGATGGAGGTGCAAAACCTTCTCCTATGAGGGCACAAATTATATTGGGGCTGTTGTTCAGTCACACAGTAGAGTCAAGACTCAAAGTTTTCCCATAGGGATTCCTAAAGATAAAAAGTGGCCTGCCACGTACTTGAGTGGTGTATTCCCAAGTAGCAGTGCCTGGAGGTGAAGTGGCTGGAGTGATGAGATGGGAGAAATGCTAAGTAGATGAATGAGGGGATGGATGGAACATCCCAGTGCCCATACGAGCCCCAGAGAGCACTGAGGTCAGGGTCGCAACACTGGTTGACCCTCCCTGGTCCGAAAGAAGGCAGACTAAATAGTACCAGAACCAGGGCTTTCTGGTGGAATGAGCTCCCAGAGAACATCAGGGACCTTTCACAGTTCCACAGGGCCTGTAAAATGGAGCTCTTCCACCAGGCATTTGATTAGGGGCTGCCACTGAGTGGTGTGCCCTGGAACATTTTCTGGCTGAACTTAGACCATCTCCTGGCTAGAGTCTCCGCTGGTTACTACCCCAGCTAGGGATTAATTGGATTACCGCCCTAGTTGGTACTGTAACTGTTGTATTAACTGATATTGTATTTATTAATTGTTTTAATTTCTTGTTACGTTATTTAATCTGTTAGCCGCCTTGAGCCTGCTTGTCAGGCAAGGCGGGGTACAAATACAAATAATAAATAAATAAATTACAGGACCTATGTTGAGTGGGAATGAGGTAACACAGTCAGGAGCTGGGCAGGCTTACACAAACAAACTTCTGGATTAGATACAATACATCTTTAAAAGGGTACTATTTCGCAGAGGTTGAGACACACTGGTTTGAGTCATTTCCACAGACTTCAGTGCAACAGAAGACACCAATACACTTCACACACACACACACACACACAAAAAACCCCTCAAAGCAGTTGCGCCAGTCATCACAGCCTTTCTTTCCAAAATGACACTGCATGAAGTACTAATTTTCAGAACTGCATATGTCTTCTCTTGACTCTCAGATTCTGATGAAAGATGGGCCCGAATGCTTTCCTGCTTGGCTGTGAATCATTTGCCTTTGTCTGCTTCTGTGCATTTTACTGCATTATTCTTTTGTGAGTTCAACACAGACCAGCATCAACTCCTTTTCTTTCCTACTCTTTCTTCTTCTTCTTCTTTCCCTTTTGCCTCCTTGTTCCTCACCTAGGTGTTCAGCATGTTTTTGGAAACTTTGGTAGACTTCATTCAAGTCCATAAAGAAGATCTTCAGGATTGGCTGTTTGTGTTGCTGACACAACTGCTGAAAAAAATGGGTGCTGATCTGTTGGGATCTGTACAAGCAAAAGTTCAAAAGGCGCTGGATGTAACAAGGTAATAGACTTCTGGCTCCATTGAATATACATGTATTTTTATTCACTGCCTGTTTGTATTAATAGTTCCCCTCTTGCCACCTAAAGCGTGGTATCACCATAAATACCAGTTCAAACTCAAAACATTCAGCATCCGCACCATGAATAAAAGTATTACTATGTACCAAGACACCAGTGTGCATTTTCAAATTCACTAACTGGTTCTGAAAGTATAAGGGCTCATACCAAGTATATATTATGCATAATATATAATGGCATGTATGGAAGGTTGCACCCTAGATTTTGAAGGGTTGGGATTCTGAAATATTTTATGGAGCGTCCTTATGAGTTTTAGCATGTCCAAATCACTCTCTGCCCACCAACAAAAGATTCTGATAAGTTCCTTTTCCCAGTTAGGATATGCATAGTTCACCTACATGCTCCGGCCATTTATTTAAGCAAATCACCTGCAATATCTCAGTCTCCCCCACCCCTTTCTTCTGGTTTTACTCTGTCCCCTGGAGCTCTTAGGAAACTATTAAGCGTTGACTCCTAATACAAAATAAATTTATTTTTCTCAGGGAATCATTTCCAAATGATCTCCAGTTCAATATTTTAATGAGATTCACTGTTGACCAGACTCAGACACCCAGCTTGAAGGTACGAACTTCTGAAGTTTTGCTACAAGTGAGATGTGTAGAAATTCTACATGTTGATGTATCATATCTCTGTTGCATAAGGTTTTCAATTCGCGGGTTTTGTTTTTATGAACTTTCAGACAGTCAAGCCAGCACTGCAGGACCAGCTTCGTTCTTTTTGGAGCTCCAAGGTTTTTGTCTGCATTATTGCCTTTTTTTTAACCTACTGTGTGTAAATTTACACTTTATAAAAAATTTTATTTGTATGCATCCATATGCAGCTACTAACCTTTGCAAGGGGTTCTGAGCATGCTGTTCTCCAGTTGATGCCGAGTGTCACACCTCTGCTAAACGTTTGACAGTAAACCTTACACAAGGGCAACGAAATAGGAAACAAATGTATGGCTGCCTAACACCAATCTGGTTATGCAAACTCACTCTATCAAGTCTTTTCTAATGTTATGCTTGTGATTTCCCAACCTCATTTACGGATATAGTAGCTCTCCTAGCTGAATGTATTCTTCAGCTTCCTGCAGTTGTGCATATATTTTTTCCATATTCATTTATCTCTGTTTTTTTTAAGTGGCCATTCTTTAAGCAACTCCAAAAATATTATGTTAACGTTGTATGATTCATACAATGTATGAACACCTAGTTGAGGAACAGTACAGAATTTTAACATGGAGGTAGAGACTGAAAAAGTATAATCCTTTGGAACATATACGACAGATTATTGCCCTGTAAATTGTACTTGGGAGAAACTGTGGCTTTAGGTATAAATGCTGCAAATTTTAAGAATGAAAACTTGGGAAAATAACAAGCATATACAAAAAACAGCATTTCCTCCTCTATCCTGCACGCATTAAATGTACACACTCTGTTAGTAGCTTTTCACAAGGTGGCACACGGAAATATGTTTTGTTCATTTGCCTGAAGTACAGCAGAATTTTATAGTATATGTCAAAGACTTTGGGTTTTGCCTGCTCTTTATAGTGGGAATCTTTTATCTGGAATTTGAAGTAATGTTATGGATTTTAATCTAATGAAAGTGTATAAAGGTCCATTCAAGTGAAGGATCACAAAGAGATGTGTTAGCTGAGTGTTGGGCGTTCTCTGATAGCTGAATATTACTAGTGTATGTGTCTCTTTGTCTGCATATGACATTCAGAGGTTTCTGTGAAATTCTGAAATAGCTGTAGTCATATCTGTATTTTGGTACATTTACCTCAAGACTTGGAACACCAAAGTTTTAAGATGACAATAGAGAAAAGAGGAGGTTAGTACTTTTCAGATACCTATCAGGTGTGTGGGGGGGTCTTCTTTATAGAAAAGGGCTGTGTCTGTTCACTCTTACATAAAAGGGAAACAAAGCTGACCCTCTCATAGTCAGTGCTTGTCTCTGTCTGTCTCTCTCGTACACACACACATCAGAACTAGCATTGTTATGGGGAGTGGAATTTATTTTTCTAACATTGATTCATCTTTCAAGAAAAGAAGGATTTCTCTTTCATTTCTCTGTAAAGAGAAATCCATGCACCCTTTTATAATTTCAGCCCTCTAAGTTATTTTATGTTACACACCACAAGGTGGTGCTTTAGCAAGAGACAGGAAGGTATGGAGGACATCACCTGCCTCTGAGCATCTACAGAGTAAAATTCTTAAATTTTGCAAGCCGTTCCTTCCTACCCCTCCTCTCTTCGCATTTCTTTTTGATCAAAACAGAGTTAATCAGAAACTGACTCCAGAAGAGGAAAAGAAATTGTTGGATTTCAGGAAAAAAAATGCTAAAACAGAACCTAATCCTGTGGATTTAAAAGGAGCAACAAAAAGAAAACAAGTAGAAATTATTTTGACTGGGATAGGACAGGGGTTACCTTTATGAAACTGGCACGGGACAAGAAAACTGTGGTTCTCACAGGAATCATTTCCCAGTTGAGGTAAAAAACAGGTGTTTACTAGTTATGCACTGCAGATTTGCTCTGATGCATTGTTAGCAGGCACTGCTATGTTTTTTATTATAAAGATGGTAAGTGGTGGTGACAACGCAGCACTGTATGTCTCTGGTGACATTAAGTTATGTTGATGCCGCTGAGGAGATACAGTGCTAATTGTGAGAGACAAATCCTCAGTGCTCTATATTGAGAACATTTAGCAGTATCAAGTGGTGGATTTTAAATAATTTTATATGCTGCTTTAAAAAGTTTGATTCATAGGTTCATCCAGTCCACCTTTCCATTTCCTGCAGTGGCCAGCCAGTTGCCTGTGTGAGGCTAGTAAGCAGGAACGAAGACAATAGTATCTGGAAGTATTGCCCCAAATATGGAAACTAGTAGAAAATTCACTAAGGAGAAATCTGCTTTTCTAAAGCTATGTAGGCTTGTAGCCATCACCACCTCCTGTGGCCCTGAATTCCGCAAGTTAGTTTCATGTGGCTTATAAGCATATATATGACTGAAATAGGCAGAAAACACAACATAGGGGTTTTATCATGGAATACACAGGTGAAAGAGAAATACGTGCACTTGTTTTCCAGCTGCAAGGTGCATAGCCAGTTGCATTTCTCAGATCTCACTCATTGTAGTATGAAAAACATCTCCAAATTAACTGCACGTGTTTAAATATTCCATAAGAGAGAAAAAATGCTGAATTCTAAGCAATGTTGTGGTACCATATTGACTTGCAGTGGGACTGAGTGCTGCTAGAAATGTTGACACCCTAGAAGTGGTTGTGCCAGTGAAACAGTGTTGGGTGTTTCACAAGCTTTTTCTCCGTTGTGTTGACCCTGCTCAGTTGCCCAGGTGTATGAAAGGTTTACATATGCAAGTCAAGGTGTGAATTCTTATGATGTAAAGAGCGGTAATGGTTGAGGGCAATGCAGAAGAGGAGCCAGCCATTACCAGATTGTCTGTTTAGTTCAAAGATAGTTCAAGAAATTTACAGTGCAATAGTGAGAATAACTCCCATTTAGTTCAGTGAGACTTCCTCTCTGGTGAATGTTCCTGGGATTGAGGACCTTACTTCAGTGTAACACTGCAATATATCCAGTCTCTCAACTGCAAGATAAACCTTGAACATTTTTCTGCTCTGCATGAAATGAGGTTTATTTGAACTACATTCAGAATTAAATATGCAACTATCTATGAGATGGCGGTGAAGTCCACTAGAAAGGAATTTTATGTGGTCTCCATTGCACTCACTAGCTCTCACGCAGCACAGTTATTTAGGATAATTAGGTCTTCAACTTTCCTCTTGGAGGGAATTAAAAATGTTAGTGAGTTCACAATCAGCTGTGAGGCTTTTGCGAGCTTTTTCATGGATAAAAAATTGTCACTCCACCAGGACCTGTCTGCCAACATTGATACAGTATGAGAACTGGAGGCCCCTTGGCCATCTTCAGGTCTGGTATTAGACCATTTCAGCCAACTGTCTTGTGCCGATGTTGAGAGGATCCTGGGTGCTGTGAAGCCTACCATTTGCCTCTTAGAACTGTGTCCATCATGGCTGGTGAAAGCCTGTGGTGATGGAATATGGGCCCCCCTGGTGGATATTATAAATTTGTCCTTGAGTCCAGGGGTTTTCCTGAGGGAATTAAAGGAGGCAGCAGTGAGGCCACTCTTGAAAAAACCATCTTTGGATCCAATTGATGTGTCCAACTACTGCCCAGTATCGAATCTTTCATTTGTGGGTAAGGTGGTTGAGAGAGCAGCAGCGGAACAGCTCCAGGTTTTCCTGGAAGACACATCGGCTCTGGATCCATTCCAATCTGGCTTCCGCCCCAGCAATGGGACTGAGGTAGTGCTGGTCACACTCACAGACAGTCTCCATAGACAGCTGGATTGAGGTGAATCTGCGGTACTATTTTTACTCGATCCGACAGCAGCGTTTGACATGGTCGATTATATAAATCAAATGTATTATTACGGTTCGTGACCAGCACAAGATCAGTTACAACAATGTACATGAATCTAATAAGTTTTAGGAAATACACAATATTTGAAATTACTGAGTGGCCTATGCATTCCTAAAATCACAGAACAGATTGAACAAAACATCTACATGTTATGATTCAGCTACATTCTGTGTTAATTCCCTCCAAATTCTGCATGATGCTACAAGAAATCTGGCACAGGAGAGTGTGAGCTGAGGATTTGTGTCTGAAAGGAACTTCCTTGAAATTTCTGATTCAGAGCAGGTAGAAAACCTCCCAAGCAAGGGTGCAATAATCTTTGCACGGATTTCCTGGTAGAAACGGCAGTGAAGCAAGATATGCTCATGTGTCTCAACCTTCCCTGCTCCACATGGACAAACCCTCTCTGCTAATGGGATTTTCCTATAACGTCCCGGTCTATTATATATATATTTTATATGTGTGAGTGTATGTGCACCTGGAAGTCATGGTGACCTCTGACTGACCCCTACGGGGAGCCTGGAGGACATTCAGAGAGGTGGCTAAATAAAGCCCGCCCCTGCCTCCCGCCTCTGGTATTTCAAGGAGGTCTCCCATGCAAGTACTTACCAGAGTCGACCCTGCTTAGCTTCTGAGATCTGAGGAGATCGGGCTTGTCTGGGCTGTCCAGGTCAGGGTAACACAGTCGATTATAATCTGTTGACCCACGGCCTCACCAATGTGGGGGTTCATGGGACAGCTTTGAAATGGCTTACCTTCTCCAAAGTCAGGGACGGAGGCTGGCGACAGGAGAGAGGGTGGCACCACAATACCCTTTGGTGTGTGGTATTCCCCAAGGGACAGTCCTCTCTCCATTACTATTTGACATCTATATGCACCCCCTCACCCAACTAGTATGGAATTTTGGGCTGGGTTGTCATCAGTATGCAGATGACACCCGGCTGTATCTGTTGATGGGTGAGTGTTTGGAGGCAGTGGTTGGATGGCTGAAGCAGAGCCGGCTGAAATTAAATCCATATAGGACAGGCCGGAGAGATTCGAGGTTGGGCTGCTAACCCCCAGCTTTTGACAATTTGTTGCTAACACCAGTTCTAACAGTCAAGAGTTTAGGTGTAATTCTAGATGCCTCGCTTTTGATGGAGGCTCAGATCACAAATGTGGCCAGACTGGCATTCTTCCACCTGTGTCTGGTTAGGCAATTGGTCCCCTTTCTGTTTCGCCCTGACTTACCCACAGTGATTCATGCAATGGTCACCTCCAGATTCGATTACTGTAACTTGCTCTACACAGGGCTGTCCTTGAGGCTGAGCTGGAAACTCCAACCGGTCCAGAATGCATGTTCTTGTGGGAACCCCAGTTAGGTCCCATATCCAACCGGTGCTCTGCCAGCTGCACTGGCTCCAGGTGGAGTACCAGATCAGGTTCAAGGTTTTGGTATTAACATTTAAAGCCCTAAATGGTCTGGGACCAGTATATCTGCAGGACTGCCTCTTCTGGTATACCCTCTGTGGCGGAACGGGCCCGCGTCCACTGGCAGACCCTGCTCTGCCCACCCCTCCTTTGCCTGACCTGGCACCTGAAGGGGCAGTTTTTCACCACTGCCTCCGGTATTGCTGCCACCACTGCCCCTGTCTTGGGCTCTGGTTAGGCGGGACAGCCTCCTAACCTCCCTCTGCTGTTGCTAGGAACCCACCTTGGGGCTTCCTGGTAATCTTTGGGGCTCCCCTGGAGAGTTGGCAACTGACCGTTTTGCCCTTGTTCTCAGGGAGTCCCCAACCCACTCTTAGCGTGTCCAAGCGGCTGGGGGAACTATGTGGTACAGAGGGACTTCTCAGGGTCAACAGTAAAAGAATTTATTTTAAAATCACTCAACTATATACAGGCATATTAACAGTGAACTGAAGAATCAAAATAAAGGTGGATAATAAATCTCTCCCTTCGTTACACATACCCTGTCTAGATGGTCTGCAGGGCAGGCACATTACTTGTTTTCAATGGAGGAAGTTAGAGTAGCACAACTCCCAACATGGCCTCTGCCTCCTGCAGTCTCCAGCCGACAGCCTGACTGCCTCCAGACTTCAGGCAGACTGACCTCAATTCTCACAGACTGGCTTCCCGCCCAAAAGCTCCACTATATCAAACAGCCCTTCCTGCCCAGGAAGTGACTCTCCCTCCTGCAGCATTATGGGGCAGATCTCCTCACAGCCTTGATGGACTTCCTGTCCTCTCTAGGGAGCTGCCCTCTGACTGCTGGTTGGAACGAGGGGGGGGAATGAGGAGACTAGGCCAAGCCCTACCTCAGGTTTCATGGTCTCCTCCTATCTGGCCCACACCAACTTAAACATAGGCATAAAATGGCGTTTCTCCACACCCTCCAAAGAGCATTATGCTCAATGGGTAACAACTTACTGGTGATCCCTGGCCCAAAGAGTATTCAGCTGTCCTCTACCAGAGCCAGGGCTTTATCAGCACTGGCTCCGGCCTGGTGGAACTCCCTGTCAAGTGAGTCCCGGGTCCTGCAAGATTTGATGGAATTTCACAGGGCCTGTAAGACAAAGATGTTCTGCTAGGCCTATGGTTATAGTTTCTATCTGATCTGACTTCCTTTCCTTCCTTTCCCCTCCCCCATCAAACTGTATGATATCTGCTCCCCCATAGAGTAGGAACACTATCCTATGTTTCCCTTTTATGTGCCATTTTACTGATGCTAGTAGTATTATTGTAAGAGTTGTTTTAATTCATCCATACTGTTGTTACTTGTGCTGAGCCCTGTGGTACAGGGGAGGGAGGACTTATATATAAATAGGTCAATAAATCTTTGGGCTGTGAGGACTAAGGGCTTGTAGCACCACAAATTCTGCTTCAGTGTTATGGTTTTCCTTAACCAGTGACTCCACAGCATCATACAAATTTAGTGGATTATGCTGTCAAGAGGATAGAGCTCTGATAAACTTTTAGTTCCTCCCTTCCTATTGCAGTATTTCAAACTGCATTTAAAATGCAGCTTCAAAACTGGTTTGTGGTGCTGTACTGCAGAGTTATTGTCTGAGAAATCGCCAAGATACCCCTTGTATTATTCTTTGACTCTTGACAAGTATAACCATTTATTTGTTTTTTTATTGTGTATGTGTGTGCGTGCATACACATGCACATATCTGATATATATAAACGCCCTAACACGTTGGCACTTTCCAGGTCTCCCATTGGCTGTGCTGTGTGCTCCATCAGCCATTGGCCCATCAACTGCCACTCAAGAGTACTCGTGTGCCATTGGCTGGGTGTTGGGTCCGCTCCTTTCTCCCGCTCACTGCCAGCCTGGCCTTTGACAGAATCAACTGCCAAAACGGCTGTCTCTCCTGATGAAGACAATTCTCCTGGTTGGTTCCTGTGGGGCTAACTTTTCCCTCAGTGGCTGTTGCTAGGCAACCAAGCTTGGTTCCGTCAGTAAAAAGGCAAAGGCAGGAACCCCTTTCCAGGCCTACCAGCTCCAGGTTGGGAAATTCATGGAGATTTTGTGGTGGAGTCTACGGAATAGAATGCCATAGGCTCCACCCTCCAAATCAGTTATTTTCTCCTGGGGAACCAGTGCTGCCAATCTCCAGGTGAGGGCTGGAGAGCACTCAGAATTACAACTGCTCTCCAGATGACAGAGATCAGTTCCCCTGGAGAAAATGGCTGCTTTGCAGGGTGGACTCTGTGTCGTTATACCCTGCTGAGGTCGCTTCCCTCCTGCTTGGGTACCCACTGTGGAGAAAGACTACTTTTTCTAGATAGAGGCTACAGGTAGGGTGTGTGTGGAAAGCTGAAGTCAGAGGCGCAGATAAAAGTAGGTTGATTGTTGGCTGGGAAGGAGATAGGGTTGCCAACTCTAGGTTGGGAAATTCCTGGAAATTTGAGGAGGGGTGGGACTTCAGACAGATACAGTGCCATACACTCCACCCTCCAAACCAGCCATTTCCTCTTGGGGAACCTTTGTTGCCAGTCTCCAGGTGAGGGCTGGAGTTCACTCAGAATTACAGCTGCTCTTCAGATGGCAGAGATCAGTTCCCCTGCTGAGGTCGCCACAGCAAATTGACATGGAGTGACCAAGCCAAGGCACCCACCCAGAGCCTCTTTCTAGATCTTCTTGTATTTATTTCCACAGCTGGCTGTATTCCTAGTGTGTGTGTGTGTGTGTGTGTGTGTGTGTGTGTGTAGGTCATACTGGTCAAGAGTCAAAGAAAAATACAAGGGGCATTGTGTGTGTGTATGTGTGTAAAAAAGAAAACATTAGATTAGATCCAAAGGTCCCTTTCTGCATATTGGATCTTTTCTACTTGAAGAAAGGTTGTTTCAGACTTCCTGCTACACATTGCATGAGAAAATAAAGTTAAATCCAAAGATATTCCACCAGTGCAAGAGGTTAGACAGCCCCTTGTGCAACTGGAAGAATGACAACAACTACAAAACCTTTTATTTATTATTCCAACATATTATTCCATTATTGTATCCCATGTGAACTCTTTCAGAAGGGTCTGTGGAACAACACTACCGACTGTGTTTCCTGTTCAATCTTTTGTGTCTAGTCTATTGATTTTATGTATCTTAGACCAGAAAAACCATTTCTTGCAGGCACTATCAGCACCAAAGCCAGTTTGGTGTAGTGGTTAAGTGCACGGACTTTAATCTGGGAGAACTGGGTTTGATTCCCCACTCCTCCACTTGCAGCTGCTGGATGACTTTGGGCAAGCCATAGTTCTGTCATTCTCTCAAGAGCAGTCCTCGAGAGAGCTCTCTCAGCCCCACCTACCTCACAGGGTGTTTGTTGTGGGGAGGGGAAGGGACTCTCAGTGAAGGGCGGCGTATAAATCCAATATCTTCTCTTACCTTCTTCAAATACAAAGAAAACAATCCCTTTCAGGATATTACTGTTGGTAACTCGTTACTAAGTAAAACGAATTCTCTTTCATTCTAGCTTGCTCCCCATTGAATGCCACATTTTTCGGTACGTCCTCTTGACTCTTCTTATTTTTGTAGGTAAAAGTTGCAATTCTTAAATACATAGAGACTCTTGCACAACAGATGGACCCAGGGGATTTTGTAAATTCAAGTGAAACTCGTCTAGCAGTATCTCGAATTATCACTTGGACAACAGAACCTAAAAGTTCAGATGTTAGAAAGGTGAGAGCATGCCAGACAGCGTCACTTTCCTGTTTTGACCCTTTTTAGCTAAGATCCTTATTTTTCATGTCAGTCTTAAAGCTGTCCTTGTTATATTTTTAATATGGGTTGATCTTTTGGTTTTAGGCTGCACAGTCTGTATTGATTTCCCTTTTTGAACTCAATACTCCAGAGTTTACAATGTTGCTGGGTGCTTTACCAAAAACTTTTCAAGATGGCGCCACAAAGCTTCTTCATAACCACCTCCGAAATACAGGAAACGGTAGCCAGGTATTTGCAAGTTTTTAATGTATTCTATAATAAAACACAAGGGATGAATCTAACAGATTTGAAACATGCTTGGTTAGGATAAATGTATGCATTTGGGGATATTAGGGAATCCTGTTACTGATACATTTTTGATTAACCTTTTGAACTATTATTTTCTCAGAGAATGCCATTGAGTTCATTTATTAACTGCATTCCCTGTAAAATATGCTTGAAGTTGGTTACAGCATTTTTCCCCCCATTGCAGGGATCCATGGGGAGCCCTTTAACAAGACCTGTTCCTCGCTCACCAGCAAGTTGGTCTAGCCCCCTCACTTCACCAACTAATACATCCCAGAATACGTTGTCACCAAGGTAAAAAGACCAAGTTATAGCTTATTTTTAGTAATTGCCGTTTCCAGCCCAGTCAAGAAGAATTAATGAGAAGCCAATGACTTGAGATGCATTTCAGAAATATTTTCAAAGTAATTTTGCAAAAATGTTTGTCGCACAACGTTTGGTTACCCAACACATGGAGGAGTCCTCTGTCCCTTAGATGTACTCTTCGTGCCTGTTCATTAGATATTTATTCTGCCTTCAAATATACGCCATCAGTTTCATCTCAAGATGCTTAGTTCTCATGTAATGAATTCACACTATGGAACATCAACTAGAGGAAAATATTATTATACATAAAGAATAGCTTCTTCCTTACCTCTGTTTGTTCCACAGTGGATTTGATTATGACACAGAAAATATGAATTCAGAAGATATTTATAGTTCTCTCCGTGGAGTTACTGAAGCAATTCAGAACTTTAGTTTTCGCAGTCAGGAGGATATGAATGAGCCTATGAAACGGGATTCAAAAAAAGAAGATGGTGATTCAGTGAGTATTTCTGTTTGAGGTGAAATGGAATGATGCAATTGAAAAAAGACAAAATAAACTTGGGGCCACTGTGCTATGTACATGCCAGCTTTACCAGCACACACTTCATCTGAATAAATGCAGGGCTATTTTTGGGCAGGAACGCATAGGAACGGAGTTCCGGCTGGCTCCCAAGTTGGCCACGTCCAGCAGGAACTCATTAGCATAATAGGCCACACCCAACAGCAGAAACTCATTAGGATTGGCTACATTAGGGGGGTGTGGCCTAACATGCAAAGGAGTTCCTGCTACAAAAAAGCCCTGGGTTTTGACAACAATCAAGGTAAACAGAATAACAAGCAAAAGGTAGGTATGGCTGGATAACCACACTTCTAGTAACATGGGGGTGCAGCCTAATGTGCTAATGAGCTGTGCTGTCAGGGGTGTGGCCTAATATGCTAATGAGTTTCTGCTGTTGGGTGTGGCCTATTATGCTAATGAGTTTCTGCTGGGCTTTTTCTACAAAAAGAGCCCTGAATAAATGTATTCATGAGGCTTCTTGGGCAAAGCCTATGGGACCTTGCCCTGACTATAAGTAGTGTGGAGCCCCATAATAAGTGCAGTCAGGAGCAGTGTTACCTCTAAACTGAGTTAGTGTGAGCTAGCTCACAGTTTTTTAGTCTCCGGTTCATACATTTTTGTCTTAGCTCAGGAAGGATGACTCCGGAGCAAACTAATTTATGCAGTAGCCAAATTGCTTGCTCACAACTAATGTCAGTAGCTCACAAAGTAGAATTTTTACTCACAAGACTCCACAGCTTAGAGGGAGCATTCATCAGGAGACTACAGAGATCAAAATAGAGTCTGGAAAAGGCTTTGGCGTTGCTCCCAGGCTGAGGTTTCTAACTCTAACTTCAAAATATATATGCTTGTCTTTGAAAATGTTTCACACTATGTGTGGTAATAAATTAATTTTCTAATAACTGTCCTGTACTAAAACAGCTGTCCCTTTTTTGCTTGGTTTGAGTGGATAACCTGACTCTTCACTGATTATTGTTGATGTACTACTAATATAGTTATCTTGCCATGGAAATCATGATTTTAACATAACACATATCTCCTTCCCCCCCTTTGTAGATTTGCAGTGGGTCTGGAATAGATCTGCGAGCAGGAAGTGGAGCTACCGATACAGGCCGAACTGCTCTTGACAACAAAACCTCGTTGCTTAACACAATGCCTCCTCATTCTTCCCCACGGTCACGTGATTATAATCCATATAACTACACAGATAGCATTGGTTCTTTTAACAAATCAGCTTTAAAAGAAGCCATGTTTGATGATGATGCAGAGCAGTTTCCTGATGGTAAGGCCAGGATGTTTTAAACTGTAGTAGGGAAGACAGTATATGGAAAGAATCATGCAAGCAAGAATTAAGAAAATTGTCATCCTATCTAAGAGACATGAAAGAAAAACCTTGGGATAGGAAAAGAGATTTTTTCAGGATTCTTGAGCTCTGACCAGCTAAATAAAAATCCAAAACTTGATATGCAAAATGTTCGTTTGAAAGCGGACAGAGTCTGAACTAAATATTATCTGAAATCATGAAATTAAACTTAATTAGATCTCATAGGCTCGTTTCCAAGCGTTTGGCCACCAAACGTTACCAGCTAGGAGGCTGAACAAGTTGCCTTTGGGGTCTAAGGATATAACGGTGCTCAGAGAGAGGTAATCCCTGTACTTCCCATACAGACTATGTTTGCTAATGGAATATTAATGAAAGTAGTGTTGACTGTATACACTGTAAAAGCCAGTTGCAAATTAGGTTGGACTTTTAATGATGTATGACTCCCAAATAAAATGTTAGTTTGTTTCAAGAAAAGCGAGCATGTTTTGCTGCTTTTTAAAATTTTAAATGTGATAAAACCAGTTTGGGTTTGAGATAAACAAAAGCAATACCATAGTTTGCCATTAAAATATTTGTAGTTGAAGCATAGAACTGATGTGTGTTTGTTGTCCAAACGTACTTTGTCGAAGAAATACATGAGATAAAAAGGTGCTGCATTTAGCACCCCTTGCTTGTCTGCTTAGCATGATAGTTTGCAAGCATAAATTCCTTTTCAAATGTTATATCTATGGAACTGGTAGTAATAACACATTGCTACACTTTTTTCCTTTGCTGCTTCTGTTATTTCTGTCTTTATTCCTGTGCCTACAGTAGCACTTTAGCACTTTCTAGGAATGTACTGAACATTCCTTTTTTCAAAGAAAACCTAGTGCTCTAAAATTTGAATGCATTATGTCTTCAGGATAGTTGAAATATCTTCAGCACAGTATTGGACATCTTTTTTTAAAATGTGCATCTCTTTCCCCAAGTTACCTTGAGTAAAGAGAGAATTAGTTGACTAAATCATTACAGGCTCTAAATGGATTAAATGTATCATTGTTTATAGAAGTTTATGCAAGTCAACATGAGTCTCTGTAAGACTTTGAGATAAGCTAGTGCCAGACCTGAGAGTGTGCCTATCAGAGCAAAGCACTGTATAATGGACTGCAAAGAATCTGCAGTGCCTAGGCAGCAACCTGCAGCCACCTTGTTAGCTAGACTTTTCCCCATGGAAGATTACCAAGGAATTTGAAGCCTGCTGGGTGATCTTGGGCCAGTCACAGTTCTCTCACAACTCTCTCAGCCCCACATACCTCACGAGGTGCCGGTTGTGGGGAGAGGAAGGTGAGACTTTTTAAGGTAGAGAAAAGTAGGGTATAAAAACCAACTCTTCTTCTTTCAATATAATCTAGGCTTGCCAAGTCCCCCCGGGGGGTGGGGAAACACCCGCCCCATAGGCCCGTTCCCCGCCGCAGGTGGATCCGGGCCCGGGGGAACCCCACCCCAGCGTGCACGTCACCAGGAAGTGACGTTATGACGCCGGGCACACTGGGGGCGGGGCCACGGTCATCCAAGGGAAAACTCTAGCCGCGGACCGGGAGTCCCCCGGTAAGGAGATTTTTCGACTTGGCAACCCTAATATAATCACTGCCGGCTGTAGTCATAGTCTGGTTGACGGAGCTACACAAAGGTTAACTATTAGAGCCCGTAATATCCACACACAGGGACCTGTCCTGTTGCAATTTGCTGTATGGCCAGTAGTCATCTAGATGCCTAATACTTACATAGATATGATCACAACATCCTTGGCTGTGGCCAGGAGGGGACTGTGTATCTGAATCCACTGACAAGAGTGGATCCAGCAAAAAGGTTCTTTCCTCCACTAAGTTCAAATTGAAGGGAAGCAGACGGGTAAAGCAGTCCTAGATACAAGTGATAAATCCAAGGGGAATAACATTCTATGGTGTCACGCTAGCTTCTGGGAGACCCAGATTCAAATTCCACCTTGCCATGGAAGCTTGTTGGGGTGACCTTCGACCAGTCACACATAATCAGAGTAACCTTCACAGGGTTGTTGTGAGGATAAAATGAAGGAGAGGAGTTGGTGTAAGCGACTTTGGGTCCCCATTGGGGAGAAAGAGGGGACAGAAATTACATAAGCCCCCATTTGTTTCCTGCACAGGGATGGGTACAGTTGCTTTGAATATCATCGGTACCTACAGAGTCCCTCAGAACTTCTAAATGAAGGGCTCCAGCAAGTACAGAGAGAGAAATGTTAGGAAGGTGAGGCCAAGAAATTCTCCAACTTTGAAAACAGGAGAGCTTTTCTTAGTCTGGGACTTCAGATATTTAGTGCAAGAGACATAAGTAGGAAGGGAGATTAATGTGGATCACTAAGGTCTTCACGTACAGATAGAATTCAGTAAAGGGGTAAGCAAATGAATATCCCTAGGGGGGGAATTTGATAATTTGGATACCACAACCACAAGGCCTGTTCTAGTGTTCCCACTCACCTAACCTCAGAGGGCTGGGAATCCTGGATCAGGCCCCTCAGCAATGATAATGGTAATTGGATAGGTTAATATAAGAGTAGATGGTCCTTAAGATATGCTGACTCCAAGCTGTACAGGGCTTTAAAGGTCAACACCTGCACCTTAAATTGGGCCTGGAAGCCAGTGCAGATGGAACAAGCTGGAACTATACAGTCCTTACAACCAGAGCTGGACTGGGAGGGGGAAAGGGCCCTGGCCCCCACCCACTTGAGAGAAAGAGGGAGGGGCCTGTCCCTTGCTTTCGTGGGTGGCAAGGGAGGCCATCGACCTACCCAGAAAAGGTCTGGTGGCCATAAGCTGGTCCACCACAGCCTGCAGTTCACTCGAGACCCCTGTTTTTGCTGCAGCATTCTGTACTGGTTGTAGTTTTCAAACATTTTTAAGGGCAGCCCAGACAGACTACATTACAGTGTATTATAGATGTTCCTTGAGTACGCATCACAGTGGGAAGATCTACCCAGTCTCCAATCCTGATTTAAAAGCACACAGGGGTAACTGGAGAAAAGGCAATATGCACTTCAGGAGTAAGAGAGTTCATCGATAAGTTATGTCTTTAGCCTCCAAGTTCCACATCAAAACATTAGTACTCCTTGTTCTTATTACCAAACCTTAATCTCTCAAAACTTTGAAGTGTATTGGTATTGTAGCACAATCTATTGTAAGATTGTGGAAGTCCACAAAATAAATTCATGCTGATTTGACTTCAGGAAGATGTCTAGTGGTTCTTCTCATAGGACTAAGAGATGTACATCTTTGCAATAAAGAAAGAGCAGTTTCTTTTCATTTTGTTTCTAATGGGTTCACATTATTTCTTTTGTATAGAACCTCCCTTGGACCATTCTGATCTGGTTGCAGAATTGCTGAAAGAGTTGTCAAACCATAATGAGAGAGTTGAAGAACGAAAAGCTGCTCTCTATGAACTTATGAAACTGACCCAAGAAGAATCTTTTGGTGTTTGGGATGAGCACTTCAAAACAATTCTGCTTCTGTTATTAGAAACCCTTGGGGACAAAGAGGTAACACTACTCTTTATTGGGACTTGACTGGGTTTTTTACAGATGCAGGGGGGAAATATTAAATTCACAATAAGAACATAAGAGAAGCCAATGTTGGATGAGGCCAGTGGCCCATATAGTCCAACACTCTGTCACACAGTGGCCAAAAATACCAGGTGCCATCAGGAGGTCCATTGATGGGGCCAGGACACTAGAAGACCTCCCACTGTTGCCCCCCCCCCAAGCACCAAGAATATAGAGCATCACTTGCCCCAGCCTGAGAGTTCCTATCTACACCTTGTGGCTAATAGCCACTGATGGACCTCTGCACCATATGTTTATCTAATTCCCTTCTGAAGCCGGCCATGCTTGTAGCCGCCACCACCTCCTGTGGCAGTGAATTCCATATGTTAATGATACAAAACACCAACATTGATATTCAGTACCCCATGTGGTGAAGTGTGGTATATCATGAGTGATGTTACAGTCAGAGGGGGGTCTCATCTACCACAGCTGCATGAATGAAGGGGGGGGGGGATCATGCTTTCCAGCAGCAGCATTATTCCAGTTTTGGTGCCAAGGGTATGTGATATCTGCTACAGAAGCTCTATCATGAAAGAAGATATCTGGATTCCTGACAGCCAATAAGTTAACAGTTACATTTTGACCCAAGGAAAGATTAAATGGGAAAACCTTTGAAGCCTCTAAAAAATACTGGGTTCTGCTGTGGAAACCTGGAGCTATCCTGTCAAAAATAAGCATTGTGAAGCGGTACACAGAAGACTAAACCGGGTGTGTTTAAATTTTCAGCATGCAATTAGAGCGCTGGCGTTGAAAGTCTTACGAGAAATTTTAAGGTACCAACCCGCAAGATTTAGAAATTATGCAGAACTCACAATCATGAAAACATTAGAAGCTCACAAGGACCCTCATAAGGAGGTTAGTATACAGTGCTGCATGCTGGGAGCTTGTGTTGCCCTTGAGGATGTCACTGAAATAATCAGTGTGATGCCCAAAGTACATGTAAAAGAAAGTGGAAAATGCAGCACATCTGTCATATAAATGCCAAGTGAATTGCTCTAGTCTATACAGATGATCATGAAATAGTTGTGTTGAACTCTGAAAAACTGGCACTGAGTCTCCATACTAGAAAATATCTCCAGCACTACAGATATTTGTGGTGAAGGTTATTTCCCAACAGGAGGTGATAGTTTCAGCAAATTATGGAACCATCTCATAACCTGTAAGCAATGTTCTGTCAACCAGATAGAAGTATTGCACATTGTAGGCATCACAGGAAATTGTGGGTGTTATCAACCCACAGTAATAATATATTATGAAAATTATTTCATAGCCTTAATGAGAACAATACTGGGCCTCCTGGCTGGACAAAATTGGGTGGATAAAGAGTAGATGGATTTAAAGATATACACTCCCATATTTTTAAAAGCAAAAAATATAAGGCCCCCATCACTGAGATACTGTTGGTGAGTTAAGTAAGTTAAGTCTGTTGTTCCAATGAGAACTTCAATTATAAATCTTCTTTTATGTAGAATAAATCATCTGCAACATATCAAATACAAGCTGAATAAATGTAATTTATGTGCTTCTGTATGTGTCTACTTAATATTTTAGGTGGTAAGATCTGCTGAAGAGGCTGCTGCTATGTTAGCCACATCCATTAGCCCGGATCAGTGCATCAAAGTACTTTGTCCCATTATCCAAACAGCAGATTACCCCATTAATCTGGCGGCGATCAAAATGCAGACTAAGGTGATAGAGAGAGTACCTAAAGAAACCCTTGCTCAGCTCTTGCCAGAGATAGTACCAGGTTTAATACAGGTAAGAAGGTATAAAATGCATACAACTAATGAATGTCTTAAAAAACTAGATAGTTAAAACAGACCACTCGTTTTTGAAATAAACTATGTGTTAAATGTATTTGGACAAAATGGTTAGTTTGGAACCATTGACCGGAATATAAGTGATTGCAAGAACCTGATAAATGGGTTCTATCAAAATATTTGCCCTGGCCTTCCTTTCTTCTTGTTATAATCTTTCAAGGTTTTACTTGCTAATGAACTTAACTAATGTTTTTGCTTTCTAGGGCTATGACAACTCAGAGAGCAGTGTTCGGAAGGCTTGTGTCTTCTGCCTCGTAGCCATCCATGCAGTAATTGGTGATGAACTGAAACCACATCTCAGTCAACTCACTGGCAGCAAAGTAAGCTCAGCTTTGCCGTGTTCAACTGCCTAGCTCGGGTTCAGTGACAATCTACAAATTTCAAGGCTAGGTAGCTTCTCACGGCTCCTCAGCTACTATCTGGGAACTATCAGTTTGCTAAGGGAAAATCAGGGCTGAAGAAACCTTATAGTAGTTGTTCAAAACCAGCGAAAGTTACAGGGCACTTGTTAGAGGAAGTTGTAAGTTGCAGTTAATTTGTTTCATTTATTCTTTAATAAAGATTTCATCAACATCACATTGGCCATCTCAAGGAGATAGTAATATTTGTATGACCAGTTTTCAAACTGATGGCTTTCTTAGCATAGTAAGAACTGCAAAAATTATATGGACAGAAAATAATGCAGATAATTCCAAAATATATCAAATTATATGTCAGTTCTTTTAAATATGAAACCTGATTGTAATATCAGACCGTTAGGAAGCTTTTCTAGCATTCCTTACACGTATGCCTGGATCTGTCTCCCTTTTTTGATGTAAACGTTATATAGTAGACAATCTACTGTGGAATAAAAGTGGCTTTCTTACTCCTCTATGTGCACTACTCCATCTTTAAAAAGCTTTTGAGATCATTTGTTAAAGCTAGATTGTATATCTGAACTATATACTCCTCTGTGTAGGTTTAGGAGGAAATGTCCATAATAGATAAAAATAGTTGTGGTGTGATGATGGGCATACGGCAGCTTCCGCATGCAAATAGGGTGCCATGCCATTCTCTAAATCATGAATAAAAGGTGACATGCCAGACTGGTCTTAAAGGTTCTGTTAATAATAGCTATAGAATTCTAGGAGAAAGAAACTGGAAAATGTTATCATGTGTGCAGTACAATTATTGGAAGGATATCTAAAACAAGATTCTTGTACAGATGATCCCAGTTAGCTAATGCAAGGCTGAAAGTAGGCTAAAAACATGAAGTAATTTTATGCTAATTATTAAAGTAACTTCAGTTAAAGTATCATAACTTGTCATTAACTAGCATACATATCATTTGAAGACTGTCTACCTAAGTGTTCCCATTAACAATCTAAAATGGCAATTTGTTCCTTTTAATTTTTAACTACAATGACTCCTGAGAAATTATGAGTCTTCCCCATCCCATGCTTACCTCCTTGGCAAATGCAGTTGTTCTAAATACTAAGTTTTAATCTTCCATAAGTATTCAACAAACTGTTTACTGAATTAAATCCGCAGATGAAGTTATTGAACCTTTACATCAAACGTGCACAAACAGGCTCTGGAGCAGGTGATGCGGCTGCAGATGTTTCTGGACAAAGCTAATGAAGCTAGTTGCCCACAGAATAGGTCTTATGAAGAAAAGACAAACAGTAAAAGGAAAAAAATATTGAACACACTTTTTTGGAACTCTTCATTTTTGTTGGGGTTTCTTTTGTTTTTTTCTCCCTTCCCCCTTTATGGAGGGCTACTCTCAGCCTGCATGTGACTGTTGCAGTTATTTCATATCCAAGGGGGAAAACAGTATTAATATCATTTGGTTGACACAAAATAAATTTTAAAATGTAATCCATTATGTTTTCTGTCCACACTCCTCTGTGTGTCTCCCCATTAATTTTTACCAGTGTTACTGTACATTTTCTTAATAGAAAAAAGCAAGCTAATTAAACCAGAATGCATTAAACTCTGAAAGTGAAAATCTACATTTCCTTGTTTTTGTTCGACTTGCAAAGTAACATAGCTGTTGTTGTTTTTGTTAAAGTACCATGTTCTTTGCTGGACAAGACTGGTCTGAACTGCAACTAGACTGTATTTGGAGATACATCCTCATTATGTGTGTCGACTAAGATAATTTGAAGTTTAAAAGCAAACAGTGCCCATCAGTGCTGGATTGACCCAGCTCTGGGAAAGTGGTTATGTACTTCACTGGTTGAATGTTTGTCCTGTAAATAAGAGTTCACTGCAACCTAGGAGGACTGCAGCGAATACCTCCTTTTTGTGGAAGGTGGCATATTCAGAGTACAGTGTTGCAGAACTGGGGTAATGGTGTGCCCTGCTTTTCCAGTAGCAGGTTAAACTAAGTCACTTAATGGATATGACCCATCCTTATCACCATCCCTCCTTCAAGCAGGATGCTTCAGAGTGGAGTGCTCTGCACAAGCATGCTCAGTATGTATTTATCTTTATCACTAGAATTTTTCCTCTCGACTTAATTACTGGAACTACTAGTTCTATCCTTTTAATTCATGTAAGGAAAATAGCACTGCAGAAAACTCCTTGGTGATCAATTTATTTTATTTTATTTTTTTGCAAGCGTTGGGGTTTCTGCACTGAATTTTGGGGTGTTTGGGGGGGGGTAAAAATCACAAGCACTATATGGACCTTAACATCATTGGTTTGAGGGGTTAATTTGAATGAGCTGGGAAAGCTGCACCAAATTTATTGCATGGTTTTCTTGAAACAGTGTCATCGAGATCATCCGGATTGAGATGTGGAAATGTTTTCAGGTTGTTTCTGTAATTTTTTAAAAACTTCATTGTGAATAATGCTTCTTTGTATTTATGGACTTGATAACAAGCTTAACTGAGAGATGGGAGTGAGATCAGCACCCTTCTTACAATGGCTAGAACATAGATGTTGTGACCACGGCTGCATCGTCTAGTTTTGGGGATTGTGTCCTCACGGGAGAGAACATAGCAGTGCCAAGGATGAAGATGATCTGTGCTAGGCTAAGATTCTCTCTACCTCTTCAGGGTGAATACTTTTGACTGAGCTGCTACCCATAACGTCTTGTGGAAAAACTTGTCTATAGAAATATTTTTTTTATTTTTATTTTTTTCCTTTGCTAATGTGTATTCAAAGCCCAATTCTCTAACATGCAGCCAAATGCCATTTTTTTTAAAAAAAGAGAGAGCTAATAACACTTTACTCGCTAGTTACCTTGAAAGGCAAATTCAAAAAAAATGTGCGGAATACTTGCATTTACATAATATAATAAGTCATTTTGACTTTGATCGGCAGTAGTTCTGACTGGGAAAGATGAAATGTGGTTCTTGAAGAAACAGTTTGCTATTGCCGAAAGCTGTTTATTGGGGGAAATATTTTAGAAATATATGTACAAAATTTAAAATTGTTATTATTCATCACTGGCTTTTTTTTTTAGCAGCTGCATCAGAAAAATAGTCTCCCTCATTCTCATATGTGTAACATTCTTGTTTTCTACTGTTCTGTTGCATTGTGTATTTATAGTTCTATTACCATTGTGCATATACAGGCAATAAAATGTACATAACATTACTTGAAAAAAAGTTAACTATGTATACAACCGTGTTTCTGCTTTATTTAATGACAGAGCTTATAAATTAGGCCACACTGAATTTATAACAATGCCACTTTCCAAAATTTGAGTGCAAACTTTCACAAATGCTTTTTATGGCCCAGAAATGTAGGTTTGTACGTTATTTCTTTTTGGAAAAGTGTCTGTCATGTTTAAGCAAATCCCAGCCAGTACTAAAAACAAACCAGGTAAGCATCATTGCAGTTAATTTGGAGAATACAAAACAATAACCAAACTTAAAAGTTGAGTTCTTGACTTGGACTTATTTATAATAGCCACTCCTACACACATTTGCCCCAATCCAGCAGGAGATCCACATACCTGTACAGCCTTCTGCATGCATTGTCTAGACCCCCAAATTAATGCAAGAAAATAGTCCTGACACTTAAATTTCTGGCTCAGATAATTCATAGTTATATGTTTAGCTCCAAAAGGCATTTCATACTGATTATCCCTGGAAAACGCTCACCGGAATTGTCTCTCCAGGGAACCTGCCCGTTACCCTTCATCCAGTTTTTTCTTCTTTTGCAACAAAATGGAAAGGAGGAATAACACAGCTTTGTTTCCTCCCTTTCTGTACATCATAGATTTCAAAAACCCTTTGATCATCAAACTTGTGGAGTAAAGGAGGGTAGAGAACACTGTATAGATAACATGAAAAACACTTGGAGCACCTAAACATAAACTAATTGAGCTAGACTGTGGAGACCCTAATCAAACATCATGACTTTGAAAATTATATCAGACGAATCTAAAATTTCAGGAAGGTTCCAGGCATTCATGAGCTGGGCTGCATTTGAGTCACTACATCTAACTGGCACCATGGCCAGCTCTTAAAAGTGTTTAAGCTATCACAACCAGAAAAAGTCTGCGTAGACATGACATATAGCAAACAAAGAAAGAAGTTGTGCAGTGATTCTCTTGGTTCTGCTGTGAGCTGGCATCATTTAGAGCAGCAGTCCTCAGCCTTTTCAGAACTCCGGCTTACTGTCTAGTCCCAACCCGCAGAGTAGGACTGACTTCTAATTTTTGTGTTGTGTGTATATCCATCTTTCCCCCACCTCCTCCCTCCCAATCCCTTTTTATCTCCCTGTGCCCCATTGTTCCACTTCACTTGCAGGTCTAGAAACATGAGTTTGGTTGGACCACTTCGGCCTGTAATGAGCCTGTAGGCTCACTTGATCATATACTCCTCAACAAAAAGCACATTATTATGCACAAAAGCTGTGACATGCTAGTTTTCTAGATGAACAGAATAATTTGTGTGAAGGAACAATTCCGTCTCTCAACATGCAATGGAGTGGTGTGGTTTAGATACAAGCTTACTAGGCCTCTTTCTCTTGGGAAAAAATATATAAACAAAATGAAGTCCAAAGAAGAAAGTGGAAATGGGTAACCTGAAGCGACTGATACTAGGTGTGCCACAACCCAATTTTGAGTCAACACTATTGGTTGGACCATTGGGTTACAAGAGATGGCATGAGCAGTGTAGGCTGAAAAAATGGAACAAGACAAGGTGTAGCCATCAGAAATGGGTCAAAAGTGAGGAACAGAAACCTGACTACCTTGGAAATGGAGCAGAATAGTTAATTACATTTCTATAACTTTCTATCACAAGTGGGAATTAAGATTGCTGGGGAATCACTCCTTGGCAAATAGAAGGGGAAGCCGTGGAAGTAGTGACAGACTTCACGTTCCTGGGATCCCAGATCACCGCAGACTGTGACAGCAGCCATGAAATTAAAAGACGCCTGCTCCTTGGGAGGAAAGCGATGACGAACCTAAACAGCATGATAAAAAGTAGAGACGTCTCCCTGCCAACAAAAGTCCGCATGGTCAAAGCAATGGTATTCCCAGTAGTCATGTATGGCTGCGAGAGTTGGACTATAAGGAAGGCCGAGCGCCAAAGAATAGATTCTTTTGAACTATGGTGCTGGAGAAGACTCTTGAGAGTCCCTTGGACTCCAAGGAGATCAAATCAGTCAATCCTAAAAGAAATCAACCCTGACTGTTCTCTGGAGGGCCAGATAATGAAACTGAAGCTCAAATACTTTGGCCACCAAATGAGAAGGGAGCACTCACTGGAGAAGACCCTGATGCTGGGAAAGATTGAAGGTCAAAGAAGACGGGGACGGCAAAGGTTGAGATGGTTAGACAGTGTCATAGATGCAACGAACATGAAATTGAGCAAACTTCAGAGAACGGCGAAAGAAAGAAGGGCCTGGTGGGAGCTGGTCCATGGGGTCGCGAAGAGTCAGACTCGACTGGAGAAGACCCAGCATCAGGGTCTTCTCCAGTGAGTGCTCCCTTCTCATTTGGTGGCCAAAGTATTTGAGCTTCAGTTTCATTATCTGGCCTTCCAGGGAACAGTCAGGGTTGATTTCTTTTAGGATTGACTGATTTGATCTTCTTGCAGTCCAAGGGACTCTCAAGAGTCTTCTCCAGCACCATACAGAGGTGTGTTTTCTTATCCCGGTCAATCTGAGGCAGACAATCTGTACAGGAAAAGCCCCAAGCCCCTTCTAGTCCCTCCTGTGCTTGGCATGCTCTCCACTGAAGTAATTGCTGCCCTTAAGATGTATAGACTTCATGTTCTAGTTCTTGAACAAAAGCCATATAAATATGTGATTCTTAGCCTCTATCAGAATGAGGTATGAGTATTCCACATTCCACCTTAAAGTCGGTGTTAGGACCCAGCTCCCTACCAAGGGAAGAGTTTGCCTCTGCGGAGGAAGGTGGGAAGCAGCTGAGGATCACTTTTTTAAAAACAAGGTTTCTTAAATAATGATGCCCTTCTCTGACAAGTTCATGCTGAAGCGCGATTGGCACAATGTTGACAAAAAGGGATGACTCCAGCAGTGGTCTAAATTACAATAGACATCTGAAGATTGCATTTGTCGGGTACAGTAGGCCTGTGCTAAATGAGAAAAGAAGAAACGGGCAACAGACCTCTCCTTTCATGTTATTTGTGATGTTTTTATGTTCCT